CTACCAGGCTGTACGGCGTCATGTCCCCACAAAAGAGTAATTTTCATACGTTATTCTGTTTCCACCAAAATCAGGTTTCCAGCACAATGTGATGTCAATGTCACTTTGCTAATTGGCTGTTATACAATACATGTGCTTATTTTTCTAAAAATTTAGCGAGTTTTATATACAGCGCATCTGTCGGCCCGGCTTCATGGAAGGCACGTCCGCCTCTTCCGCCTGGATGGACGCTCGCAAGAGATCTCACTACAATCTCGTTACAGCCAACTACTGCAACATCCCTACTACTGTTCTGAATTCACGTACCTGTGAGGCGGACACCTGCCAGAGGGGGTCCACAGCGGTCAGTAGACAGGAAGAGGCTTGGCTCAGGGTGGAGATATATGGAAGCGTTAGGAGGGCAAACACTTAAGTTTATATCTAGGAAAGTCTGGTTAGTAGCAAAATAAACGAAAGGGCTGCCCAAATATGACCGAATGTTCCGCTGCAACAAAAAACGAAAGAGTTACCCAAATATGACCGAATGTTCCGCTGCAACAAAAAGAACAAAAGAGTTACCCAAATATGACCGAATGTTCCGCTGCAACAAAAAGAACAAAAGAGTTACCCAAATATGACCGAATGTTCCGCTGCAACAAAAAGAACAAAAGAGTTACCCAAATATGACCGAATGTTCCGCTGCAACAAAAAGAACAAAAGAGTTACCCAAATATGACCGAATGTTCCACTGCAACAATAAACGAAAGAGTTGCCAAAATATGACCGAATGTTCCGCTGCAACAAAAAAACGAAAGAGTTACCCAAATATGACCGAATGTTTCGCTGCAACAAAAAACGAAAGAGTTACACAAATATGACCGAATGTTCCACTGCAACAAAAAACGAAAGAGTTTCCAAAATATGACCGAATGTTCCACTGCAACAATAAACGAAAGAGTTGCCCAAATATGACCGAATGTTCCACTGCATCAATAAACGAAAAAGGCGCCTCACATTGTGAACTTCACTAAGGCGTCCTCGCAGAACATCTGTTTATCAGAGCGAGGCCATGCGACCTCAACCCGAAACAAGTGAAGAGGGACGTGCGGAGAGGGCAGGAAGTGGCGACCTGGCGTTTCAAACCACTGCATGAGGGGTGAGGGTAATATAACCTGTTCGGCGCTTCTTTGTATGGCAACTGCAACCCCTCACTAATGCGTGCTATTACTTCCTATTATTATCACTTGTGAGGGGTATTTTCTTTAGACATAACCGTACATGTCCACAGACATCGGGCATAATTTTTATTGGTTGCTACAGACTGTGACAAGAGAAAGTTCATCAATGTGACAACCGCAAATTACAGCTTATGCTACTAACTGCTTTATGTTCCTCTCACGTGGCTGGCTGATACATATGGAATCTGTCACTAACGCAATATTTCCAGCACAACGCCTTCCAAATTCATTTTCTGCAGAGAATACAGAACAGGACAAATATCTTGCAAGATGAAGTAACACGTCACAGAGTCACAGAGTATGATGTTGATATTGCCCAAGGCGAGGGCCCAGATCAACTTGGGAACAACAGGTTGGGAAACTGGTCCCCCAGAAGGATGGGAGGGCGGGTGGGACAGTTTTCGGAAGACAAAGGGAGCTGAGGAGCCTTGGTTGCTAGGTGACCGGCATAAAAGTGGGAATGTGGAAGGAACAGAGAATGGTCGTCTATTTAATATCCCTGAACCATATGAGGTTAGTAATATATGATGTGTTTTCTTGGAGGGGGTCATAACCGAATGTTCTGGAGATTCATTTTCAGTATGAACGGGAACATACACAAAGGATACAATTTGATACAAATTAATCGATAGCAAAAAAAAAATTAAGTTTTATTTAAATCAAACCAGAATCTATATCATACTAACAAACATGGAGGGGGGATTTATTCAAGCAACACGCGCTCATATATTTATGCTTTTAATTTAACTATGAAATAATGGGATTATTCTGAAGCTATGGGTCGTGACATGGCGTCGGAATGAGAAAAATCGATTTTTACTCAGCTGTTTCGAGCTCCCAGTGCCTACAGATACTAAACAGAGCAGCAAATAAGGCGGTTAAGGATGTGCTGTAATTTTACTTTCAATGGAGACCACTTTCCATACGCCTGCCTCAACCGCCTTACTCTTCCTTTCGTACCAAACAAGTATGACCCACTAACATGGTGAAATGCAGTGTTAAATAATGATGATTATGTCAGCGCCTTTGCAGGACAGTGCACAGTGGGACCCGACCACAGAACTCCACGTCCACTGCAGTATGCACCTGTTATAATCAAATTATTTTCGGCGAAGCGTGTAAAAAAACGGGTTGACAATGAAACTATAAGAAAAAACACGTGCAACAAGCATAATGTACCGCACAGAACATCGTATCACAGAACCACGTTGTTAAGGTCAAAGATGTCCTACTTGTGAGAAAATAAGAAAGGTTTATTCAATGTGTGTTTGCAGATATGGATATACCGTAGGTAAACACGGCATGCACGCTAGTACTGCATGCTGAAGCAACTATCTGCTTATGTGAGCAGGATACGTAACGAGCAACATCAAGTGACAAGCTATAATATGTACTCGTTTCTACATTTATGTGGGCTTGGAGGCATTACCTGCAGAACCAGACGAAAATGACACTTGTAGCTCGGTTGAATTGTGGTCTGTAGCCGTGGGTTGTGTGGTCGTAGCGGCAACTGAGCTAGGAACGCTCACAGGCCTATTGCTAGCCTCCTCATGCATGTTTTGACCAGTAATCCCTGTATGTTGAATCGAATTCTGCAACCCCAGAGCTTCAGAAAGCCCTGAACTTTTCCTTTGTGCCAAGGTTTCACTAAAATCTTCTTCGTTACGTGATATTTAAAAAAATCAACGGAGGATAAATGTAGGTCTGTAGGACACTTCACTTACACTTTGCATTCAGACATGACTTGAGTCAAATTAGAGACGATGTCATGAGTTTATAACGTAGCTATGTATGAGCTTTATTCGTGAATTAAACCTCGTCTATTTTGTTGTATAAGTTTTATAACACAAAATAACGTTATCTTTCATTAACAAACACTAACAAAATGTGTGCAACAAAATCCTTTGTCATGTATATTCATTTGGAATTCATTTTAAACGCAGTCGTTATCCCTTTCATTACTAAAACTAGGTCATATGGAATAAGTGTGCTATTCATGGAAACATCCACATTGTAATTTTCAACTATTTTACTTTTGAGTACATGAACTTTCTTCGTGATTTTGTCCATATTAATTGTAGACTTGCATCGGAAAGTATATTAAAGTAGTTATTGGTATGACTAATAAAATGAAGTCAAGTTAGTATACTATTTCCATCTAGTGTCAATTGCGGGAATTAGGAACATACACGTCATGATAACTTGCTCGAAGGATGAGACAAATGAATTCTGTAGAACGAATGTTTTTCAGGTTTGATAACGTTATTAGGATTCGTATTAAACCCAACTGTCCACAGGATTGTTAATGTAACAGCGTTATTAAACATTTCTCCTAATCTAGTGCTCAGTAATAAGCTATGCAAGTGAGCAATTGTGTAAATTCCTTACGTATCCTAACCTAAGTTGCCCTCTAACGTTATCGAAATGTGTTAAAACGTCCACTGAAATCACGGGATGGTATTTGATGAATGTATAGAAATGCATATGAAAACTTGTAGTAACGCTATATGCGTCATATTAATGTGACTACAAATGAAGAGCACATTTAAAATTACAAACGTGGACAGGAATAACGTTTTCAAATGATGTCCGTCTACATAAATTACCATGTTCCTGTACCCACGTCTTGAAACATTAATAAATTATGAATTAATACGAATATGTCTCCTATGTCGGTATTTCATAATGCAGCAAAGTTAAACTACCATACCAGCTGGAAATAATTGAGCCATAATTTTCGTGTTCAAGGGAAATACAATAATCAAGCCATGTGGTACTACAAAATATGCTAACAACAAATATACATCTGCAATTAAAGATGATAATGGGCTTCACATTGTAATTACTAATCAAATGTTCCGCAAGACTCCCAAAACTTTTCAGTATGAAAGCAGATATGACAGAGCACTGAAAAGCACAATAAATTCCACACAACAGTAAGGCATGAGAAGATCCCATACATTTCTTTTTTGCTTCATGAAATGCCATATGCCAGGCAAGCAGAGAAACTGTCAAAATCCCATGAGTTATAAATCAATATACAAACCGTTAGTTTCTTGGCATACAAACAAGTTGACAGTTGCTATACCCACTTTATCTTACAGTAGTGAATCACAGCGTCATTAATGCTGGGAGCTTGAAGTTTTTTTTTCTTTCACACTCCACAACTGAGTAACTGATTTATACTTGCTTCACATGCATTACCATCACACATTTGAAATCCAGCAGTCAAATGAAAGAATGCCCAATACATAAAAAGTAAAACTATGAACTGTCCCTACAAAGTTCAATAAGATAGAATGTCCTGTCAGTAAATTTTGGTTAAGATAAAATGTCCAACATAGATTCTATGGACCATAAAAAAAAAGAGAGTCAGTCTCATGTAAGTTGGGAGATTACAAAGATCAGGTATGGGTAAAATAAATATGTTCATCAACTGTGTGATTCATATAAATTCCATAAACTGAGAGCAAGTATTCGTGGCTTTTGCATTGGTGTCTACTGAAAGTTCCTGAAAAGCTCTCCATACACACACCCAACTTAACATTAAGGACTAAAATCAAAGTTGCACAATGCAATTTATTCCACTAATATACCCTTAATGTATCTCAGTATCCCAGCAGAATGCAACGGGTAAACCAAACACCGTACAACAAGAAGTACTGACAGAAAAGTATGAAGGGATGGAGTTGGAAATTAAACTTTTGGACAGGAACTTGGAATTCAGAATTTGTTAAAAGAACTCAAAAAGAATGACCCAGAACAAGATGGTTCAACCAAGGAGAAAGAAAGAAGAGACTGGAGACATTACTTCCACTGATCTGTATATTAATGAGATAGAAACAATGCAAGGAAGTAAACACTACACATTGCAGATTTTCTTCTGTTTCACAAGACTGGATTGCTTGCCTTGACAATGGCATATTCATGAATTTATCAACAAAAGCTGCAAGCATGCTTCTGTTTTTGCAGGCAGAAAATAATACATTTTTTATAGTCCTTTATCAATTAGGCAACACAAAGTCATAACATGTAATAAAAAATACACTGCTGACACAAGCAAAGAAAAAGTGTGACCAAACAAAGCATGCAAAGGATACTAACACATAACTAAAATTACTTTGGTCACTCTGTATTTGAATATTAATATACTAGCATTGGCCACTCTGCCTTTCCAAAACAAGTAAAAGACTACAAAATACAATGAAACAAATGTTTTAATAAGAGTTAAAAAATTATTTTTATGGGCTCAAATGATCTCATTTTGATTCATCTGATGCAACTTAAACAATCATGGATGACTTGAGGGACCTTAATGTGACTGATGTAATGGGCCATGTGACAGAAACTATGCTACATATGTGACCAGTAACATCAATCTATCTGTTTCCTCCTTTTATGTTTGTATTGGTCAAAGATGCCCAGAAAACTGCTATAAATACATACTGATGCACTAAATATTGAATAAGAAAACAACCTATTAATTTGGCCTTCAACTGAACTGGTTCTCTTAACTGGCCAATAAACTAAAACTAATTCTTTCCTCTGTGGTCAGTGAAGTGGCAGATCAGAGTTGATGCCCCAAACTTAAAGACCAGAGATGTGATAATGTGCTATTGCACACCTCAAGAGGCCACGATAAATGAGTATGAAGTAATCGTGGAATGATCTGTGTGGGCAAACCAAACAAATTCAGAGAAAACCCTACTCCAGTGCCATTCCGTCCACCATGAATCTCACATGAAGTTGCCCAGGGTTGAGCGAAGGCTCTGTGGTGAAAAGTTGGCATTTAATGTCTCAGCTGTGGTGAGGTTGTCTTATATTTTTATATCTTCTTTCATGCTTATTGGCAAGAAAGGTGTTACTTTTTGGTTAAAGTCATTTGTTGATGAGAAAATGAAATACTGGCAGAGACTACTCGTGTAACATCATGGGTACATGATAAAACTCTTTGGACAGCGCACCCAACATCTAAGAGAATATGTTGCTCACCAATGGATTGAAAGATCCAGCATTAAATTTCACAGAAATCTATTCATGGATTATGACAATTTCTGTGTTCAAACTTAATGTTTCAAGTAAAATGATTGAATCTCTTCAATACCGAATGTAACACATTTAAGAGTCAACAAAACATTCTAAGACACAATGACGCAGGAACAGTAATGTCCAGTGATAATCCCTTGTTCAGAATGCATACCCTGGCCTTATATGAAGAATTCTGAATGATTTTCATATCCTTGTTTAAACAGCTAAAACTTATACATAAACATCATCTCACCTCTGTAGAGTCAGAATGTATAACACAAATTATATTTTGTAAAAATACTTCATATATTTCTATACACACACGCACACAATATATAAAACAAAAATCAGTGTATCATCAGAACAATAGTAATACACTGCTACAATAACATGAAACCAGATGGTTACAAAGTTTCTCAACACTCACCTGGAAATGACCACAAACTTCCATACACAATACACATGAATTCATATGAGATTTGAGGTTCTCTCAGTGCCGAATATTAAGACTATCTTCTGGGATGTGTAGCCTGGTAGGTGGCTACCAACATTTTTGAAGATACTGCCTCCCTCTTTGGTGCAGAAGGTACTTCTACTGTATTATTGTTTCTTACATTCATTCTTTGCCTGGTCCAAATATATCTCGACACAATCTCCTCTATTTAGATAAACCTGCTGTCTGAGTCACTATAATTTTAGCAGCCAGATGGGGGAACTTTTGTTCGCTTTTTCTCCATTACCATCTAACTTGTAGGCATTATTTTTTATTTATCTGGTGCTAATATGTCAGATTTTCATAGAGGCATCAACTACTGACATTTATCAAGACATAAATGGGTTACAAACTTTCAGAGCGAGATCTGAGGTTCTCACAGCAGTGACTGTGAAGATTACTGTATTGTAGGGTGTGACAATGTGTAGTGTGATAGGCAGGTACCACCATTTCAAGGGAACCAGCTACTTCCACCTTCAGGGTCACCCCATCTATCCTGAAAATGAAGGCATAAGGCTCTTCCAAAATGAGTGGTATTTACGTACTAAACTATGAGGCAACACATCCTGGAAGATACTCGTATTAATCTAGACACTTTTGAAATCAGTTTCCTGTAATTCCGACTGGCTAGCGCAAGGAAACTGTAATAGCAACCGTCTTCCTGTTGCAACATGACAAATGGGGAACTTTTGCACTTCATATCATTCAGTACAGATTAAAATTCATCTGAGAATATGGGTGTATGCATTCTCAATAACCCCACGAAGTAGAATCCTTTTTGAGAACCTTACTAATCAATCATCTAGTCTAGAGATTTGCTGACTTTTGGAGAACCTGCAGGTTCATTACCATGTTCACAAGAGCTCTCCACGTCCCCACTTAGAGCCAGATGAGTCCATTCTCCCAAACTTTCATCCATTTTAAAACTTGGGAGTAATTATTCCCAGAAAATTTGGTAATGTAAAACTATATACATATACAGACATCTCCAGCTGAGGTGTCAAGAGTCATGCTGGCCACTGCCTGCTACACAAAATTAAACAATCCATATGTGAAACGGGAACATTTCAGTTGAGATTTCGTTCCTCCTCCATTCTGCTTATCTCTGTTCACACAGTGCAAAGCAATCAATGTGTATGTTCAGACTCCTTATTTAGCTTTTTCTAGGAGTTCTCTGGAGATAATATGTCGCTGTATTTGAGCTGTGCCTTCATATATCTGGTAAATTTTAGCGTCTCGACACAGTTTTTCTACTGGGTACTCAGTGTTAAAGCCATTACCTCCAAATATCTGAAAAAGATAGCAAAATAAATATTTCTAACATAAGCAACAGGCTCATCCCAGTTAACATCTGTTTCTGTCACCACCTACAAGTTCAAACCACGATTTAATTAAACAGTTGTTTCACCTGCACAGCATCGGTAGCACATTTGTTGGCCACGTCTCCAGCCTGGGCCTTTGCAATGGAAGCATAGTAAGTGTTTCTCCGGCCCTGATCTGTTTCCCATGCGGCCCGCATCCAAGCAAGACGTGATGTTTCAATACCAATTGCCATGTCAGCAAGCATGAAGGAAACAGCCTACCAACCATAATAAAGCACAACTGCCACGTTTCAATTTATATCTATAATTAAATTAAAATAATTACTTAATCTATATACTCCCAGCCCATGAGTGTCTCTCAATTAAGAAAACCGACTCTTGTAATGAAATATGAAAATGAATGGAACTTCTTATATCAACGTCCAACAATTACAATTATGTAAGATTTGAGGTTCTCACGGCAGTTATTATGAAGAAAGCAGTCTTCTGGGACGTGTTGCGGTGTAGATATTGTGTTAACCGACGTTTCGGAGGAATGTATCGCCTCCATCTTCAGGGTAGAAGAAGAAAAAAAAAAAGAAAATCGGCAAGCGAGGAACCAGCATGAGTATGTGCAAATAGACTGGTCAATAGGTGATATATTCCTCCAAAACGTCGGTTAACACAATATCTACATGGCGCCACATCCCAGAAAACTGCTTTCTTCAATTACAATTAAGTTCAGACTTCCATTCAACGTTCCTAATGCTTTTAAGACTTTCCCTTGATTATCGTTCAACTTCAGTCCCCCCAACTCAGTAATATCAGGGTTAAATTTCATCCATTTAACCCTTTCCTGTACTTGGTGCCAAAATCCACAGCTCTCAAAAGAAACCTCAAATCAGGACTTCAAAGTGATTCGTTCACGAGAGAAATATTCAATATACATCAAACAAAATTACCTGGTGGTTTGCGATTGGCACGCCAAAAGTCTTCCTTTCCAACGAATACTTTTTAGCTTCATCTAGTGCCCTCTGTGCCAGCCCTACAGCTCCAGCTGCAACCTAAAGATACCATCAAAACTGATGATAAGCACAACATTAATTGATATGGGAGAACCATGGTGATTGAAGTGGCACCATAAAAAAGGTAAAGTTGTCCCACTGCTTAACTAATTAAGCAATACACCATGATGGTGTATGGGGAAGTGGATGTACAGATCCATGTTTTCTTGGCCTCTGCACTAGTTGGAGGTGAGTAATCATATTCACGCCCCTGCCACTTTAACCCGGGGAAAGAGACCCCAGTGCCCATTGGATTGGAGGCTGGGTGGACCCCAGAGCCAGTCTGGATGCCGTGCTAAGGACCAACACAACATTGGTTTATATGGGAGATCCATGGTGGATGAAGCAGCGCCATAACACACTTTTTTCTGACTTTCCGTTTTCACCTCCTGATCATCACTCCAACATTGTTCCATATTGTTCTACCGCCTGAGGCACGTGGCACATGGCGGTCCTGACTGGGCAGCATATCCCCTTGGTCTTTACACTGCAGACTTCGTCAATGATCGCTACTTGTCCGGTTACATACGTACTTAGTAGGTGAAGTTTTGACTGTAGGACTGCAGTGTCCCTTGATACTGCAGGAACAAGTGGCCCTATTGTACCAGCCCTGGGTGACACAAGTTTTAAGCATTGGTTGGATGATGTGCTCAGACAAGAACCTACCCCTGTGGCGCTCTGTCCACCACAAATCTCACATGGCCTACACGGAGATAGAACCCTGGCCTCAACACAAAGAAATCCATGACAAACCATCAGAGCAGTGATGGTCTACAGCTTCATTCTATTTCTACAGGATATAAATTAACGGAGGGCTCACATGCAGCTAGCAAAACCTCCTGATCCTCCTGGAGGACCGAGAACACAGTAATATGATCACATCATGCATCTAGAGGTCACCAGTTGAGGCCAGAAAAAAAGGATTATACCAACTGGACAGAACAAATAAAAATATGGAGCGAAATGGCTGTGGAAGGCAATTGAGAAAATTAAACAAAAGCAACAAATCAAGACATTTTTCTCACAAATCATAATATCACCAAGTTATTACTTGCCTCATTTAGCTCATACGTCAGCATTTCCTGATGACAGCTATGTATACTTTGTACCTTAAAACAGGACGGAAACTATCACAGGTAACCCTAACCCCTCCACACATGCCCAAACATCTAGGTAACACAATTCCATGTGATTTTCTTCAATTTCATATTTTGTAACTGACAACGAAAAAATAATGACATTTGTCTAAAACAAGAAGACAATTTGTAAGCGGCTAAAATGGATGGAAATGACGTTAACTGAATGATGTATCTTACAATTAAAATTAAAGCCAGTGAAACCAATGGGGTAACAAAAGTTTTGAGATGAGGGATTGTTCTTGGGAAAGAAACTTTCACATAAGTCATTTGATACCTAAAAACAACATGCAAGTGTAGTGATTTCATATGTAAAAAGCATACTGGAGGTCGTGTCTTGTCAAAGACCGCCATGGCAATCTTGAAGCCTGCTCCTTCAGCCAGAAGAACATTCTCTTTAGGCACGCGGACATCTTCGAATGTGATTCCCCTTGTATCAGAACAGCGTTGACCCATGTTGAGTTCCTGAAATTACCCAAGGTCACTCCTAAAAATGTATACAGTTTTCTTGAACCCTCATTTATTTCGTGTACTTTCACTGTGCTCACCAAAATCATATGTTACATGTTCTTAGTTTTGTTTGCCTTAAATTTGACACTGATATAAGAGCTTCATGGATGAAGTAACTGTTCCACACTATGCATTTGCACATGAAATGTTTTGGTAATCACCTTCCTTCCTGGTGTAAGCCCTGGTGTATCTCGATCCACAATGAAACCAGTGAATGCTTTACTAGCAGGGCACTTGGGGTCAGGGTTTGTTCGTGCCAGAACAAAGTACCTAAACAAAAACATCATTACTTAGCACAGGCACTAGACAAAATGAAACTGGTACACAAAAGTTACAATTTCTGAGTGCAGTTCGAAGCTCCGAGGTTTTTACGATGGTGTGTACTAAGATCTGTTCTTACAATGGAAGAAGCAGTTCCTCCAAAATCTTCATGCCCAGCCATCCATTGAGCTTTTTGGTGTCACATCCCAGGAGACAGCAATCTTTGTAGTTGGTACCAAGAAAACCAGAGATACTAATATCATTGCCTCCATATTAAAGTCTAATTGCCAGACCCTCAGCACTGGTGGGGGATTTAAGACCTCTTATTTCAGATAATAAAAATTAGTAATGATGATTTTTTAGTAAACCCTTCTCCAACTAAACACCCATATATAGTCTGATTCAAAATTTGAGTGTGAACATGAAGAAAACGCCATAACTATGGGGACTATTTGCTCTCTAATGGCAGTGCCAGATTGTGTGATGACGTACAACAGCAATACTTGCTCACCAGCTGGCTACGCCCCCATTTGTAATCCACATCTTCTGACCATTTATGATGTATTCATCTCCTTTCTTTTCTGCTCTAGTCCTTACTCCATTTACATCTGACCCTGCTCCGGGTTCTGTGACTGCATATGCCTGCAATAAGCATTTCAGCCCTCTGAAACTTACTTTCAAAAAATTCCAAATGCATTAAATGAGTCAAGTGATTTTCACTCTTCAGTTTGCAAGTACACCAAAGGGATTTCTGGGAGACAACAGATTCAAACATTAAACTGAGGTAATGCTTAAACAGAGGCATTTGTAGTGAGATGATTATGGTTATCATGGGCATCACTTCCACTCCCATGTCAATCACGTAACAACACAGCCTCACCAGTTTATGCTGCCACTGCTACTGTATTCTCGCTATGACATACAACTCACATGTTCTAGCTTTACTTCATCAGCTTCAGGCAATCTAACATTCACATTACAAAGTACAAGTTTCTAAATGCCAGCCTAATGGTCTTCTTGTACGTGATGCTATGCTCACTGGTAAAAGTTTTATAAGTAAATTTCCACAATAACACAAAGAGAATCACAGCCCAGAAAACAGCAGTCTTCAAGATCCCATCTGACAGAGAAACACTGGAGAAAGGCTGTACAAATAAAGTAACATGAGGAAAACACTTACTGCAACAAGTGGCTCCTCTACCAGCCTTCCTAAGAACTTCTTCTGTTGCTCCTTACTTCCAGCTGCTACCAGCGGAGCTTGCTGTGAACAAAAAAATGAAAGGAAACCTACTGACAACTCTATACAGCAGAATCCTTCTCGAGAAGCTGATAGTCACTCATTCAAGACATTCCCTGCCTTTAATGGGACCTAAAAACGCACTGCTGTGTTCATAAAAGCCGACATTCTGAGGAATCTACAGGAAAACATTAACCTGTAAAAACTAATAAGATGGAGTCTGAGACATGAGGATCTGACAGCAGTGAACCTGAAGTCCGATGGTGTGCAATCTGAGAGCCTGGTACCAACCTGGGTAGAATACAGAGCAGGTAAAGCTAAGGTAAAACTGTCCCACTGCTTACCTAATTAAGCACTACACCATGAAGGCATATGAGGAAGTGGATGTATAGATCCATATTTTCTTGACCTTGGCAGTAGTTGGAGGTGAGTGGTCAGCCTCAAACACCTGCTGCTTTATCCCCAACCCCTCCCCCCACCTACTGGATAAGAGGCAGAGGGGGCCCCAGAGCCTGTCTGGACTACGTGGAGAAGAGAAAATTATTATTATTATTATTTATTATTTATTATTATTATTATTATTATTATTATTATTATTATTTATTATTTATTATTATTATTATTATTATTATTTCCTAAACAATATTAACTGGTTGGGCTTTCCAACAGAGATGCAGTATTCCACGTGTGAGGTACGGGATAAATTCTTATATACTATTTAGAGCAGTGTTTTTCAGATGCGGGGCCGTGGCCCGGTACCAAGTCCTTTTCTTATAGTAAAAAGAATTTACCAGGCTGAGGTCTGACAAAGGTTGAGAACCACTGCTTTAGAGTACCTTCAGGTTTTGAAGGGTTGAGATACTGGAAGAAATAACCAAACCCAAAATCATAACATTACTAAAAGCAGGAAACATGCATGTGTGTTTTGTGTGGAGTGCATGCACATATGTGTTGTGTGTGTTTGTGTGTATGCATGCACGCATTCGTACGTCAGCACAGGATACTTCGTGCCCATGCATTGGCAACCTGTGCCCACATTACATTAACATGCTAAATATCACAATCTCACTTACACCTAAGTTTGAAGCCCCCATTGCAGTTGCAATGGCTGTGCAGCCGTATGCAACTTCCTCTGCAATCAGACACTCATCGAAACATGACAGCTCCAGACCACCTACAACATCACAACAGCTCAGTAATGATGTCGACACCACAGGGGCAGGTTCAGTGTGTGGCTAGCAGAGTTGCAATTTCTTACGGCTGTCCAGCGTCATTTTAGAACGAAATATGGAAGTCAACATCCTACGTGGAAAAGCATTAGGTTCTGGGACAACAAACTGAGGACTACAGTTAGTCTATTGCATGTAAAATTTCCTGAAGAAAATGTCAATTGCATTAGAGAGGCATTCCAGTGAAGTCCGCAAACATCAATGGAGCTGCATGTACATTCAGCTGTCAACATGGTCTCCTCACAACACCCGAACCCTGGATCACTATGTTTTTCATTTATTTGTGTGTCTCTTGCTCTTTGTTAGCATGGATAATTGGAGCATACTGCATATACCTGACGGTGTGTGTCTATATTAACATACATAACTTCAACATTTTCTCCCCCAGTACCTTAGTCATTCATATTGTTAACATAAGGTGACAGGAAGATGTTTGAGTTCTGCACTGGGACAGGTACAGACAGCACAGCTCACCACAGTGCTGAGGGATGTGGCAATTTGATAAGCCAAGTTCCCATGCCTTCTTCATAATATCCCAGGGGTACTCCATGGTCCGATCATATTCAGCAGCCTTCACAACAATCTCTTCTCTAGAGAATTTTCGAGCCAATTCTTGCAACTCCTTCTGGGTATCGTTGAGTTCTGGAACAGTTCAGTGACAGTCTTCTAACATACACACGCTTCTTAGTGTAACACCATTTGACAATTTAGTCTCATCACCTGTTACATTAGCTTTCATACTATTACTTCCCCCTGATTTCTGTTAGGTGATGTATCTGTGCTCTTTCTAATCTTTCATATCTGTTCTAGTAGTTGGCGCATACACATAACAGATGGCAGGAGTTTAACATTTTCTCATATCAAAATGTCTACAGAGGGCCACATGGGCATGGCCTAGGGCATTTTTCTATGCATGCATTTTTTTTCAATAAAAAAACCGAAGTGTATTCTTTTTCTTACATTCACGCAACTCTGTAGGTGTCAGGAGTGAACTTGGGCATTAAAGAAATGGATGGGAAAGGGTCAAAGGTCAGAATCTTCTTCTCAAACACAGTTAATCTTTGTCGTTTCTTAAGCATGAGACTCAGTCATATTTACTGGAAACCCACTTCAATGAAATTTACTTCAAAGATAATGCCAATTGAAAATTTTGTTCGTCCAGTGATACCAACCGAACCAGAATCCACGGGACTGTCTTCCTTCGGTTGCTGCAGGGTGAGGCAGAGTGGAAAGTGCGCGGAAGCCAGAACACAGGCTCCTCTTTGTTATCTGAAGATAAAACAGCAATACAGACTAAGCTACATGAGGAAAGTGCAGTCTTTTTACGGAACTCTGAACAAATATTCCACTTCCCTCTTCTTGCACTTCTACGCCATGCATCATGGGTATAAATGTATACATAGCATCCTTATGTACCTGTTTTGGGCCCACATGTTATGTACAACTTGCCAATGGGGTCCTAAAGGTTATAATTTTCTAAGAATAGATCATACAAGCTACATTAAACAGCGTCAATGAATGTTAGAATTATTATAAATTGTGAATAAGGCTACGTAAGACATAAGTAACCATACATGGAAAGAACCACACCAAATAATAATGATGATAATGAAACAACTACATATTACTGCAGTACTGATCTCTGGAACATTACAAATATGATTTAAGTTTTGCTCTTTCAACAACTATCTTCTTTTAAAAGGCTTATTCTCTAGTTTCTGAGAAGGCACATTTGAAATATGTATGCAATGATGACATGACAATTCATGACCAATCAACAGATCTAAATGCATCTGACTGAAAAGTGGAGATCCGGATGATGCGTGATAAAGTAGCCTTCACATTATGAAAATTATGCCTTACTGGGTGGGGTTCTTACTGTCTTTGTGCCGAAATTGTATGTTACTCTCATAATATGTCCCTCATTAATATCAAAATTAACGTGCTCAAATTTATTTAAACCATCAAAATAATTATCAACAGAATCAGCAACACCTGTATATCTCTCAGGAGAGTAAGTTTACACAGCAATTATTTTACGCGCAACATCGTAGTGTACGTTACTGAATACAATATTTTAACAAGTCATATACAGTTACTGTGTTTCTGGACATTATCCATCGTCCTATTTTTATTTTTTTAAACACACAGCGTTTTGGAGACTGGATTCTGTCTCCCCCTTCAGGTGGAACCTATTCAGCTGGGCGCAATCGACAGAGCTATTAACAGAACGATGGATAGTGTCCAGAAACACAGTAATTGTATTAATATACCTCGTCACAAACTTTTGGATATTATTAAGAAGCCATGTTCTAATACCTGTACAAATAAGGCCATCTTCTGTATTATACAAACGGTGAATGAAAAGTTCCACAATATTCACATAAAATGGTTTACATGAGAATCTACTATCACAGCCTATCACAAGCACACTATTCTGTTGATCGCTGTTGATTCTATTAAAGGATATGGACGAATTTGCTAACTACATTACGATTTTTTTAAACTTGTCTGCTTCACCCCACATAGATTTCTAACATTAGATGGCGCCTCTTGTATGCAGCATGTGCACAATGTTCTTCGTCTGCTGCCACCAGAGGGCAAGAGACTTCATACCGCTTCATGTAGTAGTCCGTGCTTGTGCTACTGGTTACTTTAATCTGTGGTAGGTAATCCACGATGTCCACGATATTCTTGCTCGCATATTGAGTTCCAAAGATGCTATACTGATGGACATATCTATTTACGGTCAAACTACAAAGTATTCTTTGTACCGTTGTCAATTTCGAAACCTGCTATAAAAAAATTTAAAACAGAACTGAAGCTTCCTTAGAACCATGTAACAACAGTACTTCAAATTAATTTTATGCATCTGTGCATTATGCTGCAGATATAAGCCATGTGATTCGCTACAAAATTCAACCACCCAGTTAAGAAACTAATTCAACAAAGTATATAAGTCCTATTCTTTAAAACCTTATAGACTGACTGTAAGGCATGTCAATAACTTCACACTGATAATGTAATTATGGTTTACTGATATACTGATGATGCAAGGAAAGAAGTGTTCTGATGGCAAGTTTATAACTCATACAAACCCCCTTCACTGCAACCCCTTCCAAACACACCTGTTATCAAGTGGATGATTAAGAAAACTGCTGATAAGGTCAGTGGACAGCAAGAATAAAGAATGGATAAAAATTCTGGATGTAATCATGGTAAGAAATGACTTAAGATATGTCATAGGTGGGAAAAGTGGGTAGTATGAAATGAATGCAAGATGGTAGTGCAGAGCAACATCATGGACAATAGAATTCACGATATTCTTCTATGTTATGGAACCTTGTAGTGTGGTTCTGGAAGGGGAGTGACAGTATGAATATTGTGAAGGTATTACATTTAATCCCTATGTCCCTGGGGCTGACTCAGCCTCTAACAGAAATGAGTACCAGGAATATTTTTGGAATGTTCTTGGGGGTAAGGGTCGGCTGGCACACAGGGCTGACAATCTTGCCACCATCTATGAGCAGATTGTCTAGAAAATGTGGGAACCTCAACGTCTCACAAACCTATGGGCCTCCACTACCTGTTACAAGGATACCTTTACTTTTTTCTTATTACATTTAATACCTAATATTTTTGTACTTTTAAGTAGTCAATTTATAGCTCACATACAGAAGTTCTCATTTTGGGACATAATGAATTTTCAAAATCAAAACGTTTTTAAAATAGATGTGATATTTAGTAATTGTTTGAGTTGTATATAAAAATAATGTACCTTTAGCCACAATTGCAAATTGAAATACTTCTTTGAGAGTGTCCTTTAAAATATAATTTTTAGGATAATACTGATTTCAAAAGTTAATGGTAGTTGTCATATATATATATATATAAACCTTAGTAATTTAGTTGTAAAACAAACTGGACATTTTGTTCCTGCTAAGAAAAAGTCATCATGATATTTGTGTCCTGAAGGCCATTTTTAGACTTTTGCACCACTCCTGTTGCCTTAAGGAAAATGATACCATGCTAACAATAGTGTATTTATTTCACTGCTAGCGCTCCTTACAAAACACATATGTCATATACATAAAATACTTGTTGAACTTCACATATCCACCTCATATCAATATATTGTTGAGCCTCTTGCAACCACAATCAGTCAAAGAGAACCGTGTCATGGCACGTCAAGAAATAGTAATTATGCTGTATTGTGATATATAACAATACTAGATGAAAGGAATAAATAAACCTCCCCATTCTGTAACTTCCTCCAATCTCCAGTCAAGTCTTCTCTCTCTCTCTCTCTCTCTCTCTCTCTGAGCCATAGTATGGGGCCTCCTTTTGTGTTCAGACAGTTTTCACCAATATTCTTCCCTCAGTGAGATAAAGCCTCATAGCCATTCAAAATGGGCAAAATACTTGAGACACCTCATTCGAAAATCCATTTCATTTACTCAAATTCTTGGGGTGGGGGTGTAATAAAGACCCCAGAATGCAGTCCCATACACTGACCCGCATCTGTATCTCTGTTGAGCTGTTACACTACTCCCTCCAGCATACATCCGATATTCCTCAGTCTCTTCTTCACGCAAATGTTGGGTGAAAACACTTGTTAGTGAGAAGAACTCTAGGGTGGCTGACATATGGCAGAGAAACTTTAAGGTGAATATACTGGGTTTTTGGACTTTTTCTGTCGTCCAGAATTCTAGGAAATAGAATACAACAGTCAGAAACTTCTGACAGCTCAGTATAACCAAAAACAGCTGGGGAGCAGTTTCATATTGACATTTTCAGCTGACTTCATAACCATATCAGATCCAACATGTTTTATAGAAAATGGTTTTGGAACTGAATGTCTCAACTATTTCGTACATGTTAATCTTTCTGTAAACTGTACTGGACATGGTTTTCTCAGCCCTTCCTTGTAAAGCTGGAATAATGCAATGAGTGACTATTAGTTTGTTCATGACCTTGACTTGGCACAAACTTCAGGTGGATTATGAATCTAGAAATTTATACTGCTATAACAGTTTGCACTCAAAACCTGCATTGTGAAATACTGTTTTATGGTGCACAAACAGCATCAACATGCCAACACATTGGTACCCATCTGTCAACTTACACAATATCACACCAAGCAAGTTGGCTCAAGTGGTAAAGCTTCTGACTTATATTCAAGAGGACACCAGTTTGAATCTCGACAAAGAAAGTGACTATCCTGACTGAAGTTTTTTCATGGAATTCCTCAGCCCCCTATGCAAATGCTAGGATAGTACCTTAAAACAGACAACCACTTCCTTCCTTTCCAACACATCATTCGTCAACCATCCCACAATCTGGTGCTACACACGTTCCAGTACACTGTAATCGTAATATGTATCATTATGACAGCCTCCGAACTCATAGACATGTTGTGGACAAAAATTTCATTACATTTATTGAACTTACAAAAATGTGAAAAAATCGCATTTCTAAGGACCTTGCAGATAACAAGGGTTAAGCACAAATGATGAGTGTTCCTACTATAACAATTTTTTCCCATCGGTGACAATATTAAAAAACTGATCTCCCACTATCTTGACAACATAACAAGATGCTCACATTTTACACATCAAACTCATGAACAAACAAACAGCAAGATCTATTCTATTTAGGCCATGCTTAGTTCTTACCAACCTCACAGAGTCAAAACTTTCAGCATCCACCAGTCTCCTCAACAAATGTTTGAAACATAAAATTATACAAGTATGGCACAATCTAGTAACATAAAATTGCCTAGGTCACAGATAAATAAAATGAATAAACTGAAACGTTTTAACATTCATTGGCCATGTGTGCAATCCGGCTGGCAACTTGTATATTTTCAATACTAATACTACTAACTCCGAGTTAAAACCTGGCCACCAGCCCTGACCAACCAGGAGATTTCCCGGATGATGAAGGTTAATGGAGGTGTAACAACGCTCATTAAACAAGGCACAACTTGTTTAAGCAGAATATAAAGTATATTACATTCCTGGCCAATTTTAGTTCTGGATTAAATAGAATGTATAAAAAAATCAGTCTCTTTTGGTATGGATGACTAACCCGTTGCCATACCCCAAACTCAAATCTATGCCACATCTAACATAATCAAACAGACAAAGAAGGCCATACCAATTATTTCTTATGTTATCGCGATATGCTATAATTACATGGCACGCAAAAGATTCATGTATCTGAATACAATACAGGAAAGTCTCTTTGCCAGTAGAATGAGATCTGTCAGTAAACTAAACATGTTCTGCACTGCATGTAAGATTACTGCCTAGTCTGGCACACAAGATAACAATGTTTTGAAGCAACATGCTATCTCCATCTTCAGGGTAGGCGTTTCTACTTTGAAGACAGAGGCAGCAGGTTCCTCCTACACAGTGTTACACCACACAAAGCCATAATCTTGCATGAGTTGAGGTTCTCACAGCAGAACGTATGAAAAGTTCTATGTTCTGGGATATAACGCTGTGTAGCCTGCTGAAAGTCAACTGAAGTTTCAGAGTCGCATGTCATGCCCATTTTCAGGGCTGAAAAATGAGACACACAAGAAACCAGGATGAAGGAGGTAGAAAACAAGAGTTATCTGCTTATTCTTTGGCCATGAAGATGGAGGCGATATGTTCCTTCGAAACATCAGCTGACTTTCAACGGACAACACAGAATTATATCCCAAAACACACAACTCTTCTTAATATTTACTGCTGTGAGAACTTTAAATTCCAAATGCATATAACTTTCTAGACCAGTATCATTAAAATTATTAGTTTTTCTATTCAAAATGTATTTTCCTGTATTACAAGTATCTTTATCTTGTATGGCAACAGGCAAGATAAGCAATCGGCTTCCCAGTATCTAATTCTGAATTTATCATCATAATGCTTCCAACATTTCAGTTCAGATATCAAAATTAAGTCTGTGCAAACCTAACTTGATACTATTGTCATATACACAGAAATCAAACTGAATGCTTGACTAGAAAGAGCAAGACTTATATTTCACAAACTGTATGCAAAATATGAGGTCTTGGTTTAGATGAGACTTGTATACTTCAGCCAAGATAAATGGAGTCATCACTATGACGGCAAACACAGAGTCAACATTTGTAAAAAGGTAAAAGGTTAAGTTTTTCCTGTGCTTAACTAATTAAGCACTATGCCATGAAGGTGTATGGGGGAGTGGATGTATAGACTTGGTCAGCTTCACGCCCTGGCCACTTTAGCCCCGGCACCCATTGGATAGTTCGTTGGGAGGACCCCAGAGCCGGTCTGAACAACGTGGAGAAAATTCTTACCCCTACCAGTACTCGAACTCCGACCCCTTGGTCATCCAGCCTGTAGCCAATCACTATACCGACTATGCTTTCCCAGCTCCTGTTAATATTTGTAAGAAAGACAAAACTGCTGTCGGTCACACAGAATTCACACATCTTGTATAGAATATGCGAATTAAAAATGCCTTATGAGGATTTAATATTTCCAGAATCTGCTCTTAACATGTATATGAAATTTAGCATGGCAATACACTTAAAACTACCATTTTGGTTCACAACAATCCACTGGAACCCTCTTACTATATATACTTCATTCAGCACAATTAAATATTTCTTGTACAAACAGTAGTTTTTGATAGAATAGTCTCAGCGTTCAGAATATTGATTGATGCATCATTCCACCAGCTCCAGGCCCTACGGATTTCATGCATACATAGTGATGACTCCAGTAACGGAAATTGCACACTATACTGAGGCCACAGTAAGGAGTCCCATGGATTGACCCCCTTCACAATTCCTTCAAGCACCTGTGTTTCCCCTCCAATCATCAAACCACTAGTTACAGAAATGGCAATACTGATAACCTTCACTAGCAACAAACGTTTTGGGTTTGCTAGCATAAGTTGGGTGGAGAAGCTTCGTGCCATCACGCCACCATCCATCGCACTTCTTTCCGTGGCCCCAGTATACACTGTACTACTGTTTCAGAATACAATAACCAATACAGATACCACTTAAATATTCAATACATCCTTTCACTTGAAGTATCTCTATGAAACAATATGTAACTTCTTCCATTCTCCATGCCCCATCTGATCAGCAGTGTATCTATAGCTCCTCCAAAAACCTTGAACCACTACAACAGTACACAAGTAACTTCAATATAGAAATTTTCCAGAAACTGTACTCTAAAATCGGTTCTGAAGTAAATTTAAGCATAATTTTCACCAGCCAGCTTTGTTTCTGAACATGGCAGAATACTAACTGTATTCTGGCAATACTAACTAAAAGAACAAACTAAACACCTCAACTTGACCTGCTAAAGTTCATTTTCTACAAGAAAAGTAATATGAACTGTAAAAATCCCTATGAGCATTTTGAAAATATGTTTCTGATGCAGAAACAAAATATATTTGAATCATTCAGTATTTAGGCTTCATGCTGCAAAATGTAGTCACAAAAGATCTTATTATAATAAAAAAATGACATGACAAATGTCAATTTTTGAAACATCAGTAACAAATGTCAAATTGCTGGAAACTTCATTTTATCCTATTATCTGCATGTTATTACTGTGATGGTGCATTCCACTCGTCACGCTCTGCATTTTTTACACCATTAGCATTACCCTAAGATAAAGTATGGCCACCAGCCCTGTAGCATAAGCAGATTCAAAATGTCATGCTTCCCACATGATAAAGTTAAAATCCAAAACACTGGGAAATTAAAAATCCTGTTCCTGGACAGTAAGGGTGATATTATCACCCTCTAAAACCCTACATACACAAGAAAAGGCAGCTGTTTGCTTTCCAGTGTGCCAACACATCAAATTCAGTACATGTAGTCAAATACAAACAGCAAATATTGGCACCCACACTGAAAAATTGTGACAGAACTTTTGAAATACACTGAAAAGCAAAATTTATCCATGACTCATATAAAATCCCAATGTAAGTCACATTTTGATGTTTCTTACTTCCACAAGTGCCTGTAACTTTAAACAAAACCCCACTAAACAATTATAATATTTGCATAAGAAGTTGGTTATATTTTTGTGTGTTAATATACTGTAATAAAGTCTATAACAGAATTGCTTTCCAACACTTCAGAAACTCTGCCCGTTTCCATCATCACGGACAGATGCAGTTTCCAAAACAATGGAAATCCAATTCCGTCTACACATAGCTTACTGCCCAGAAACACTTCATCTGGTTTACATGCCACTAAAGCTTCATATCTCGGATATTAATGTACTAGTTCCTACATTCTGCAGCATTCTCTCGACATTTCCATCTAGTAAACAATGCACCTAAATTTTAGGGCACTCCTCGGTAAGCTCAATACAATTAACATGTATTAAATAAACAATTATCTATAATCTGTCAGCTTATACTAACAAAATCAGATTCATGACGCTGCTTACATCAGCTTCCGTTAAACGGTGGGAACTGTCCAGTGTCTGATCACACTGTACCTGAAAAGAAGCTGATATAAACACATGCACACATTGCTTTCTTGGCAACAATACAAAAGTTCACTGCACGTAACATCTGCCGCTCACCTCACCCCACATGTGAAGAACCTCCTCATCAGCATTATCTGTTGATAAAATACAACTTAGTGGTTATTTCATGCATCAGAAAGCAATCATTTTACAATAAGAAGTAAAACTTTTCTTCACCAAAAACACAGGAACTGTATAATTCTGCCTGGCCACAAACTGTGCAAAATTTAATTCTTGTTAATTCTTGTCAATAAATATAGGTGTGGAAATGGGTTCGTCACAGTAAATTCCTGAGAGGACTTTTGTAACAAACAAACTATTTTCATTCTGGATGATAAACAATTTATTGATGCAAGCCAATGGTTGAATTACATATTCTTGGTACCTATGTAAATCCTTACTGAAAATATGGTTATATGGCAAAAGAAAGTAAAAGTGTACCCCCAAACAACAGCTTTTATACAACAGAGTTCTCTAATTATCATCCTGATCGCATTCACGACTTATGTGGCCAGTCTTGCCACACCTGTAGCATGCCTTACTGGCTGAATTTGGGCAGTCACGAGCAATGTGCCCTGACTTGTTGCAGTTGTAGCAACATGGGCCCATGGATGCTGACTCAGGGCAATCTCGGGCAATATGCCCCGTCTTGTTGCAGTTGTAGCATGATGGATCACTGGGGCTTTGTTGACAATCCCGGGCGATGTGTCCGGCTTCATTGCAGCGGTAGCACCTATCCTGGTCCTCCTTGCATTCACGTGCGAAATGCCCAAATCGGTTGCATTTGTAACATTTCTGTTGGCCTCCACGTCGCTCATATCCTCCGCCACCGCCAGATCCTCCCTCTGGACATTCTCTAGCAAAGTGACCAGTGCGATTGCACCTATAGCATGTACTAGAACTCATCTCGCTATTCTGGAAACAAAAAGACCCAAATAGCACCACTGCTAACATGCATTTCGCTAATACTTACTTTACAAGTCGATATAAGTTTCATTTGTTTCCACCCGGAAAGTTGGGTTAGTAAACCAACGTTGGTGTTAACCAGAACTTACATGATACGGAAAATTAAACTCGCGCACTTACACTTCTGAGAGTACCACAGCTACTCACTGGTAACGTCCACGGAAATGTTTCGAATGTAAATTACGTTTTATTATAAGAAAAGCACTCAAGCTACGAATTTTGGTATGCAATTACATTTCTATTTAACAGTACGGTTGGTATCCCTGTCTGCAAAAATTTATACTCACCCCAATACTGCAAGAATTGAGGTGTATAACATTAGACTATTCTTAGGCTTTGTTTAAAAACAGACTGTTGGTACTTACGTGTTATTTCAAAACACTTAAAATATTACACTTCGTAGTCCACTACAAGCTAAAGACAAAACAAGATCCAAAAATAATCGCTTTCAGAGCACGTGCAAATGTCTTCGCTAATCGGAGTGCTTTCAGTTTCCACTTCCGTTGAAACTCGAAAACGATGCGTTAGTTAGTTACTGTAAATGGCCACCAGAATTCACCTTTATAACCTACCCAAACCAATCATTCTGAAGTGTTTGTGACATTATCTTCAATTTCTAATGCTTTGTGACGTGTAATTCTACCGAACAATCTTGTTGGAATTCATGATATCAGAACGTTGGGTGCAAAGAGTTGAATTAAGGCTATCTCATATGGGAATTTTATATTTTATCTGTATCAGAATTATTGACGATATCGCTTAACGTGTGAAATTCGTAGCTCTACAACGTAAAAATGAATTATGTAGTTGTATCGGGGATACTCTGTTTGCTTATGTGCAATTACATGTATGATCGTTCAAGTCAGTGCAAGCAGTTATATTAGAACACAAATGGAGGGGGTGGGTGGAGCAAACCTTCAATATGCACGCGGAAATCCAATTCTCGTAGAAAATATGCACTGTATTGGGTAGTTCCTAAGTTAATAGGTCATTACTTCGACCACTTAAAACTGAACATTGTGTTGTACATTCTTTCCTATGTTGCTTTAAAGAAATAAAAAAAATTATGTTAAATAAAATATACATTTCACTATAATAACCAGCCTCTGGTGCTTGTGCTGAAGTTCGCAAACCAAAATTATATGTGAATTCATAAGTTCTCTCAAGCGTGCCCATCTCAGTGACCCTAAAAGTGTTACATGGCGAGTATGCTCAATGTATCATGTTTCTGTTTTGAACGACTTTGGAAAAGGCGCTCGTTTATTGTTATTTCTTTTCAACATTGCTTCAGAATACGAGGATATCAAAGATATGTCTAAGAAGGGAGGGAGGGAGGAAGGAGGCTGAAAAAACTGCATAATGAGGACTTTCATGATGGTTCATTATTTCTTATATTTACTTCAGGAACTGCAGCAGGATACGATCAGGCTAATATAACATTAGATGAATTCTGCGCCTGTTCACTGTCTAAACCTTGACCGTTGTCTTGTTGCACAAGTAGTAGTTCGTATGTTGCAATTGAACCAATGACCTGCAGAAGAAGATAACGAACTTTAGTAGTGAGAAACTTTTAAGGATCTGAATCAAAGAGCATGCTGTGTCAGAGACAGCCTGTCGCTCTAAAAAAGATAAAGCTATAACATTTATGACATTTCGAGACTGATGCCATCTTAAATTATGGTATAATGTATCTTGGAGAATACAGCGCAACTGATCGATCATATTATAAACTGAGATTAGACATGCCTATTTTTAATGCAGTACTTATGACCGCATATTTGTCCCAGTTGGGTTTCGCCTCCCTGACAGTATCTCTCGCGATTCACTTCTATACGTAATTTCCATTAGTAAACCTAAAAATTCTGATGTTAGGTTTTACAGATAAAATTTTATAGTTTCGCAAACATAGGAATAGTCCACACAGAATTTTTTGATGCATTTATGTCACATTTACATACAAAATATCACCAACTAACTAGAAAGCTAGATACTGAATTAGCCCGACCCTACGCCCCGTGTTAATTTTGATAAGAAATTTCATAATCAGAAGTTGTACGTCCTCAGAAAACCTAATATCACGCAAATTTTAGGGTCCTCTATCATGGGCTACTACTGCAGCCCATCTCAGAAGTACTCGTATTAATATTAATGTTGCCAGGAAATTAGAAAGTACAAAAGCATCATGTTTATACCAAGTTTAATGTCGGACATTATGTTATTAGCTTATGTATCGTTATAAAATAGGGGATGTAAGCCGAAACACATACATGTGTATTTTATGGCTTGCAAATAAGAGACTGGGAAAGGTAAAACAATTATACATCGAGTAAGTACGTAATGGTTTGTCAACTTACCGTCAGAATTAAAAGTCTCTTCAACTTAACTAATCGGAATCCAGTAAGTGCCACTTCGCTGGTAGTCACGTGGTCAATAAATCGCTCTACCTGCAAGACGAATGTACGTTATACAGAGTGTTCACTTTATGAAGGAACTGAAGTTTACCTCGGCAACAGAGCTTGCAGTTACCGACATGATTATTTCTGCATTTTCATATTTCGAATTCTTGAGAGTGAAGCAGAAAAGATGAGGCAAAGTTTTTCGGTATGTAAGCTTTAAAATGTGCTCACACACGCTGGATACTTTATATCAGAGACTGTGTTGAAATCTCAGTATTGCTCACAGAGCATTTTGTACATTGCTTATTTCTCTACAACGTCAGAGTGTTTTCTGTGAGGTAGGTTACAAATACATAGTTAAATAAGCGTAATATTCAGATGAACTTCACGAATCGTGAGGCAATAAAATGCGGTCACGAGTCCTGCCGGACTCGGAGCCAAGAATGACTTGCTGGCGAGGACCAGTAGCCATTTACCCGACAGACTGACTGAGCTTCACGACCGTCTCGACACAGGTTTTCTTGTTTTTCCTGTGACTTCAAGCAACCCTCCAGGCTTAAATTGATCGTAATTACTCCCCTTTTCTATCAGAGCCGCCAATTTGTTTTGCCAAATTATTACAATTCGATATTAATTCTGAATATCAAAATTCCGGGGCCCTTCACTTAAGCAGCTGCTTCTAACAATCCTAACTTCATCACTCACATTAACCTGAATACAGAGACGAGCGGGCGAAGCCTGGAAACTTCTAACAAAATCAAGTTCCTTCTTCCCCTGCCCCGAAATGAAGTGTCTCTCACTTATCCCGTGTAATTAAATTTATAGCTGTGCTTAATTAACTACGCACCACGCCATTAAGACGTATTGGGGAGTGGAGGTATATCTCCACAATTCTTGAGCTTGGCACTAGATGGAGGTGAGTTAGCCTCACGCCGCTGCCGATTTAACAACGGGGAAAGAGCCCCCTGTACCGATTGGACGAAGCAAAGCACGGAACAATAAAATAGCCGATTTCTTCGGATAGGGGATCAGCAAACATCGCGTGACGTCTCTCTAGCATTGCTAAGATACCTACCAATGGTAAAATGGAAAGACGAGTAATACAATTTGCCCTCCCAACAGATCTCGGTTCATAGAGTCACACGCAGGGCATATATATATATAGGTATATATACATGTAAACATCGGCAAGGGAGGGAGCCAGGCATCTGCCGCGTAAGACTGACAACCTCACCGCCATCTGTGAGCCGATTGTTTAGAAAATGTGGGATCCTCGACGTCTCACAACCCTATGGGTCTCCACGGCCTGTTACATGGATATCTTTACGGTTTTACTGGGCGGACCCCTGTGTCAGTCTGCCGGGAATCAAACCCCAGCTCTTCATCAACCAATTCTGTAGTGCAGTCAGCATACTGTACTGCGTCATCCGACTGTAAATTTTGACGAGCGCTACTAAGAAATGTATATCGAAATGTAGCAACCTTACCAGAAGAAGACTAGCATTTCATGGCCCTACACCAGTCTCCGATCATACCTCGGTGTCGTAACTCGCGGCAGGCACCGCATACAGGACTCCCTTTGGCTTCTGGCTGGCCTCGTTCACGAACGAGGCACAAAAGCACATCAGGCAAGCTCGGAAAAGCAAATAACCGAAGGAGTAGAAGAAGAAGACGTAGCCATACAGGCTGTGCACGTTCCTGCAGAGAGCAAACAGTGGGCATGCTTTCACTTACACATGACCCTTGCGATAGTATTATTATTTAGGTTTCGTGGGACGGTGTGAGACTCAGTCCTATTGTACCAGCCCAGGATGATAGATGATGAGTGTGGAACATTTGATAGGAGGAGATTTGGCAGGGGAAATAGAAGTACTCGGAGAAAACCTGCCCCAGTGCTACTTTCTCCACCACAAATCACACATGACTTAACCTGGGATCGAACACGGGCCACTGCGTTTGGAAACAGGCGACTAATCACCCGAGCTGTGACAGGACTTTGTGACATTAGAAATTTCTCTTTCTAGATATCGACGCACACAACAGCTCTCATTTACATACGCAAAATCGGGCCCCTTTACTCTCACCCCCGGCCCAGAGCTGTTTTGAAAGTAACAACGAGGAAAAAAAAAACCCTAAGTAAGAATGCAATCACTTGCGCAGTTTTCTAACCATTACAAAGCATGAAAAACTCGAATGGAAGCAGCTTGCAACATCGCAACCTAACAGTTCTGTCTTTCTTTGTGAGAAAACTCTTTACTCAGCCCACATCTTTATACACACGCGTACCTATAGAGTTGGTACTGCAAGAGGATCTCAAGGAAAATACAAATAAAACGACAAGCTACGTCGTCTGTAAGTTTAACTCTTTGATTTCCAAGTCTTTCTGCTTCATTTCGAAGCTGGCGTGGAGGACTTTTAGAAGTCAACGGGCAGACATTCCAAGGGTTATCATTATCAGCAATCACGCGAAATACATGGCAAGATGATTGGAGGGAATATATGGAAGCATAACAGCTCGAGTGAGATGTGAAGGGCATGGATGAGGAGGGGCGTCCGATCTGTGGGACCTGTTTCCGTGGCCGAAGTATAGCGAAGGTCTTTACTAACAACTTTCGTATATGCAGCATGACTATATGAATGAACGGGAATGCTGAGGAGTAAACTGGAGGGGGAAGTGTAACAGCTTGTAGGAGAAGTTGAGTGGGTTGGAGGGTGGGGGTTGACTCATGGGACTCCTTTCCGTGGCCGCAGTATAGCGAATGTTATTACTAACAACTTTCATGTAAGCAATATGACTATATGACTGAACGGGAATGCTGAGGAGTAAACTGGAGGGGAAGTGTAACAGCTTGTAGGAGAAGTTGAGTGGGTTGGCTCACGGGACTCCTTTCCGTGGCCTCAGTATAGCGGACGAAGAGGCGCTTACGTGAGGCTGTTGAACAACTGCAGACAGATGAAGTAGAGGTCGCTGGTGAGGCTCAGGAGGACGAGGTGAGAAATATGATCGTCAACTGTTCGTGTGAGGCAGCAGAGGTTTTCGTACAGCTCACGAGCCTCACGCCAGAACGCCGGTGGGGTAACCTGCGGACGATCAATACAAACGACTCTGCCGCCATTCCAAGAGTGAAGTAACGCACGTCCCTGCACAGAGTAACTAAAATCCGTTGCGAACTTCTGTGAACACGGTAAGAGACACTCAGGTTACACAAAAGTAGCGCAATATATATTATATGAGTGTCGAGTGGCTTCTTAAGCAGCTGGGCATCCCTTTAGCGAGTATTTTAACTTTTCTACGTCATCAGCTTGTCTTCTATTATGATTTGCCCCGCATTCTGACGACGTACTCACGCACCGCCTATCGATTCTCGCCTGGTTCACTGTTTACAAATATATATCGCTTTTAATCTGCATGCAGGGGCACGCGGTAGCGTGGTTGACGCACTATGCTACAAGCGGCAAGGTCACGGGTTAGATTCCCGATGAAGTCACTGGATTTTTTTTTCAATTGATCTAATCCTTCCAGCCGCACTATGGCCCTGGGTTCGACTCAGCCTCTAACAGAAATGAGTACCAAGAATCTTTCTGGGGGTAAAGGGCGGCCGGTGTGTAAGGCAGACAACCTCACCGCCATCTGTAAGCCGATTGTATAGAAAATGTGGGAGCCTCGACGTCTGACAACCCTATGGGCCTCCACGGACTGTTACAGGGATAGCCTTACCTTTTTCAGTCTACAACTTAGTCTACATACAACTTGCATATAACAAACCTGCCGATGCTACACATTTGGATTGATCACGCTTCATAATTGTGTTTGTATTGTAATCATTTCCTCCATCGGCCTTCGCCTTTTTCTCAATATAGGGCCTAGTTCTTGTTCATTTCCGCATGCTATCACGTGACAAACAAGTGACAAGCAATCTCAGATCATACAATCTCTTTCGAACATAAACACAACTAGCAACATTAAAACTCCCATTATTTTTTCATCTTTTATGGTAAAGGCAATATTGTCCCTGTGCTCATTATTATTTATTATTATTAAAGGGGGTGGGTTTCCCCATGCACTTAGACCAGTTATTGGTCCATTGTGCGTCCCCCTTTAATTACTACTGTCGCCATACCCTACCGGTGCTGGTGCGTGCTATCAGCCCCGTTCAGCCAACGAGGTCGGCCCTCGGTACCTGATATTTCCCCCATCTACCAGAGGCATTGGAAACTACTTGGGTGGGAAATTGTTGCCTAATTTTGCTCAGAGGTCTCATAGAGACATGAGGATTTTTTACATGCCGTAAATCTACGACACGGAACCCACTTGTACCCTGAATTTTTCCGCCCTTAAAAATTCCACGACCTCCGCCGGGTTTGAACCCGCGTACCTTGAGTCATGAGGTGGGAACGTTACCCCTAGACTACGGAGGCCGCTGTCCCTGTGCTTAACTAATCAACCACTATGACATGAAGGCGTATGGGGGAGTGGATTACAGATCCACGGTTTCTTGACCATGGTATTACTTGCAGGCGAGTGGTCAGCGTCACGCCTATCCCGCCTTACCCCCATGGAAAGCCTCCAGTACCCACTGTACAGGAGGCTGGGTGAGCCCCTGAGCCGGTCTGGACGATGTGGAGGAGAGACCATTCTTGATCCTACCGGGACTCGAACTCCGAGCTCTCGGTCGTCCAGCCGGCAGCCAGTTGCTATACCGACTGAGCTATCTTCATCTTTTAAAACTAACGCAAATTACATGGCGTCCGACAGACAGCAAAATTACCGGGATTACGCGGTAGTTATATCAGGAACTGGGTCCTGTGAACAAAACATACCGCATATCCGGCAACGGCGGACTCGACGCTGCTGCTACTCGCCTATTTACCGACGCGTAGAATCGCAGGGCCTATGATGACGGAGTTATAAATTGGAGAGAGCGTGGAGGGAAGCGGTCGTGGCCTAATCTGAGGCACTGTCCCGGGATTTTCATGGAATGACTGAGAAAATCTGTCAGCATAGCCGGTCTCAGAGTTGAGATCTGATCCCAGAACCTTCCTAAATATGCAACAGTTGTGCTAATCATACCACAGCGACGTTTGATTCTTCTATTACTGATTAATTGCATAAAACACAGTGGTAATTATATCAACCACCTGTTTTTAACATTAAAAAGACTGTTTTCATTTTGCTCTCAGAGTGTATTTGTTTGTTATGTATGATTCTCACAATAAACAGCGATAAATTCCCTAAGCTGCACTGATTAGCTTTTGTAACGAAGATGCAGTGTTGTTTCTGTGAGGTACGAACTGTATTCATAAGTATCGGCTCCACTGTCTCTGTCTCCAGCCTCCACTTCTTACCTCTCGCAGAAACAGTGACTTTCTTCCTCTGAAATTAAGTGTCTCGCACTTTTCCCGCGATTTTGCTCCAGCGCCTGTTCTCCCCTTGTTCACAAAGCGCAAGATCCAACGTGAATTGACACATATCTTTTCTTCTTAAATATCCAGGCTACTGAGCACTGCTCAGGTCCTAGAACCGACGTTATATGAAGCAGTGAGTCGAGCGGACTGGTCTAGCCTCGTCTTGGAGAGGCGCTCTGCTCGAACCCCTTGCAGGGACATCTGGACGAATGCTAAGACAGTATGTATTAGGCCATTGCCGCTTCGTTTCGAATCCTTCCATTTGACGCTGCCTCCTAAACAAACCCCCAATTTTTCTCTTCACGCTCCAGAAGGTTCAACACTCGGAAACCTCACTTTACGCGCTACTTTTGTGTGCCTTACCTCTCCCCTGAAGGCCAGGAGTCGCTCGTAGAGCTGCAAGTACTTCTGGGTGAGCGCCATGCTCACGAGGGTAACAAACATGTCCATGTAGCTCCATGTGAATGTGGCCACAAAGTTGGACACCTGAAGCAGCAGCGCCTTCCACAGTGCGTAGTCCGTCGCTTTGAACACCTGCTCGAACCAGATCGTGTAGAAAGCGCGGATAACGTCCACACCTCCCGCAGAATATGGTAGCGCGCGCAGGAGACACGAATACATGGCCATCATGTGCTCCACTGGGCCACAGACAAGAGTATGTTAGCCCTCAGAAACATGAAGAAGAAGAAGAAGAAGGAAACGACAAAAAGGGGTGAACTGGTAGAGAGAGGAGAACACATATTTCACCTCTGAAATTTCTCAGGCAATGCCCGCTCGTCTTTGTGGCATAGCCAGGTTAGAGAGAAGGTAAAGCGACGGGAAATGGATTGTTTTGTGGTTATGAACGGGTCTTTATGGCGTCAGGACTAAATTTTGATTAAAAGTTGAGAGGCCTGAATGAGGGTTGGGACTCCCAACTTGGGAGAGATTGGTGTGGAAGCTGCAGGGCGTCGTGGAGTTAAGTACCAACCCAGAATTTGCTCTAGGACCGAGGAAAATCACGAAAAAAAACATTTGAAGAGCGAAAATGATAAAATTTAGTTCACACCTCACAAGGACGGTTAATGCTGTTTAGGTTACAGAATTCGGCACTAACCTGTTGAGGCTGTAAGCATTGACGCCGCACAGAATTTACATCGATGCCCAAAATTCCTGGGGTAACCGTGGAATTTCAGCATCGTGTGCTCCACAGTTTGCCACTCTGACACTATCTGAGGCCACTTTCTGGCTAAGAACATGAAGAAAATGGTTGCCAAGAAAGTGACTGCAAAGAAAACGGCCGGAGCTGGAAACATTAAAATCAGAATAATTTATTAGAGGTAACACAGACAATCGTCTGCTTGTGTCCCTAGTTTTAAAAAGGCAATTAAACACCTAGAGGTGTTAACGTATGGGGAAGTGGAGGTATAGCTCCGCGCATTCTCAGCCTCGGCATTATATGGAGGTGAGTGGTCAGCTTGACGCTTCAGCCGCTTTATCCTCGATGAAAGAGACCCCAGTACCTAGCTTAGTTGGTCTAAGGCCTGGTCGGAAAGATAATTTCTGCACCTGCCGTGAACTGAACTCCAGCTACCCAGTTCTACAGCCCACAGGCTTGTTACTATTCTGACTGAGCTACCCTATTCAGAGACTACCAAATGAATTTTATCGAACGTTACTATCGAGACTCCTGCTTCGTATTCAGCAAGTTCAGGGTTCCCATCTCAAACCCTAGACCGGTTATCCTAACTTAGGATATTCGTGACTTTCGTAAGTCCCTCCTGATACCTCAAATTAGGCCACGACCACTTCCTTCGACATCCTTTATAATTCATTATTCACTATCATGCTACGAATCGACGCTGTAGCGTAAACTACATGCCACAGTGAAACTACAGGTCCTGTAGTCTAAAATACTGACCGCATCGTTAAACAAGCCATAAATATATAAATACACCTCCTGCTAGTGCCAAGGCCAAGAAAACGTGGGTCTATACATCCACCCCCCCATACGTCTTCATGGAGTAGTGGATGCTTAGTTAAGCACGGGGACAACTTACCGACTTCAGGTTTACACCACTCACCACAAGCAGAATACGTGACGCGGTGCGCGGTGCAGAGCTCCCGTAAGCAGAAGTACAGATGCAACAGAATGCCGACGAGGGACAGGACGCTGTAGGCCACCCTGGGACTACGCCACCGGAACCGAAGTGTCGAGGCGTCGTGACCCGTGAGACCAGACACGGGCATCAGGGCAAAGCACTGTCCCGCCACCAGCAGGGGACACAGGGCACGCTGGAATGAGTTGCAGCTGGCATCTGGCCACGTGTGGTCATCCTCGAAGGTTGCGCTCAGAGAGTCCCTTCCAGACTGCTTGCGGCCAGCCATTGCACCCTACACGACTGGTCACAGTTATGTACCGTGCAGCAACGTCTCGGAGAATATAATGACTACATCTTCAGGGTAGAAGATGCTGAAGATGGAGGTATATGTTTCTCCGAAACGTTGGTATCCATTTCCTAGACTACACGAAAGGGCTTACGCGTCTGGCTAACCAAGCGGTCTCGAGGAGCGGTACACAACAACAATAATAATAAAATTTTCAGTGACCTGAACACCCTCTGTAACACGTACATGAAACTGTTTTGAGGCGGTGTTCAGAACAGCGACAAAGATTTTAGAAAGGGTGGGGTGGGGGGAGGGAATTTCTCGCCTAGCGGGTTACATTTGGGCTTGCGGTGGCCCTGCTACTGGATGCAAAGCAGAAGCCCACCACAGGGATCCTGAAACGGTTACATCCACTGCTGAAATCTGGCCAACTTTTAACCCTCGTTATATAGTAAAAGAAAAGTAATGCTATCCCAGTAACAGGCCGTGAAGGCCCATAGGGTTGTGAGACGTCGAGGCTCCCACATTTTCTGGGCAGTCGGCTCACAGATGGCGGTGACATTGTCAGCCTTATGCGCCAGCCGCCCTTTATTTCTGTTAGAGGCTGAGTCGGACCCAGGGCCATAGTGCGGCTGGAAGTATTAGGTCAATTGAAAAATCCAATGACGTCATCGGTCTTCCGGCTTATAGCAGTGTCTTAAGCAACTACGCTATCCGTTGCTTCAAAAGTGATGACATAAACGTTTCTATATTTGGGTTCCTTTCTATATTTAACAGCTTTCCAACCACAAAAGCTTCTTAGTGGCTCAGCATCTCGAAAGATCACAGCCAGATTTTGTCTGTTATATCCGGGACCGAGGGGCTACGCGGTAGCGTAGTTGATTGAGGCACTACGCTACAAGCCGGAAGGTCGCGGGTTCGAATCCCGAGGTCATTGGATTTTTTTTTTCAATTGACCTAATCCTTCCTGCCGCACTATGGCCCTGGGGTCGACTCAGCCTCTAACAGAAATGAGTACCGGGAATCTTCCTGGGAGTAAAGGGCGACTAGCGCTGACAACCTCACCGCCATCTGTGAGCCGACTGCCCAGAAAATGTGGGAGCCTCGACGTCTCACAACCCTATGGGCCTCCACGGCCTGTTGCAAATATAGCTTTACCCTTTTTATACCAGGCCCGTTACAACATGGCTTCAGTTTATATATAAGTACATGTGTGCCCGTTACATCAGACATGAGCTCACACTACCTCCACACGTGAGTCAGATGAGAGAAGTAATTCCAAATTGAACCGAACTTGCAAAGCGGCTGGGTAAGACTCTTTCTGGTTGCCGACTACACCCGGGCCATCCGCAGTGCAGCAAGCCTCGTCATGTTGCGTGCAAATTAGAGTTCTCCGTTTCTGTAACAAAATTACTATTGCAACACACAAATTTTCTAACTTAACGATCACGAATTTGGGCCATTACCCGAAAGCTCTCATAAACCATTCACAATTCCAATATTTACTCACATAAATTGTTCCCTGGACCTTATATTTCGGAGGGCGAAATATCAATATAGCCGTTTGTATACTGTGAAAACAATATCAGAACAAAAAAGAAGACATTACTAGTTTTATTAGGCATTCTTTACACAAAACGCGAAAGGCAAGTTGTCCCCGTGCTTCACTACGCCATGGAGAACTGTGTGGAGGTGCAGAGCCACGCAACACACACAGGAAACTTTTTATATCATGAATAGTGTTCATATTTACAGTTGCGACAACAGGGTGCATACCTTAATCACAAGGCATACGCTTCAGGGTACAGGTATTGTCGTTACGTACATATTAGCACACAGAGTCCGTAGTAGCTACGAATAGGAGCAGAAGATGATAGCAGACAGTGCAGGGTATGCTCAGTGCACGCTGCTATTGCTCGTAATATGAAGTTTAGTGTACCTGAGGTCAGCACGGACGCCAGCTTAGCTCTCCTTCCAGAATACTTCGAGTTCGTAACTCGGGGGCGCCATGATTCGAAGTTTTCCTCGAAGGCTATAATATATAATGATGGTAAAAAAGGTAAACTTGTCTCTGTGCTTAACCAATTAAGCACTACGCCATGAAGACGTACCGCGGAGTGGATGTATAGATCCACATTTTCTTGACCTCGGCAATAGTTGGAGTGGTCAGCTTCACGCCCCGGCCGCTTTACCCCCGGTACCCATTGTATAGGAGGTTGAGTGGATCCCAGAGCCAGTCTGGACGATATGAAGTGAAAATTCTTGACCCTACCGGGACTCGAACTCCGACCTCTCTTTCCCCAGTCCGTAGCCAGTCGCTCTACCGACTACGCTATCCCGGATCCATATAATGATGGACCACAGTAAATAACTACAGTGCAACAAAGCGTGAAGCATTTTTATGGTTCAGTAATTAGACTGTACGGAGTCTAGTGGCAAGATGGCGGCTAAATTGGGAAGGATATTGTAGCGTATAGACCCTTGCTAAGCGGCGACTCTTTGAACAGCGACCGTTGCTATGCAGAGGTAATGTAAACATGTTGCCGTTGCTAGGCAGTAGATTCTTAATGTAACAGACTGACACAACAATAAAAGATTTGTGTTTTCTATGTCGTCCGTGCCGAGATCTTATAAGGGACAAAGTTAGTCGACAGACTGTTCTGTACGGGAGGTTGTGAAGAGAGGACCTGAGCGCGCGAAGCTGAAGAATCTCCACTGTTAGAGGCCGTTACCAGGGAATGACTGGTGAACACACAACAGGCTGGAAAATGCTTAGCGGTTGCTGTGGTGATCTGTGAATTGTGGAGATTAGCGGTGGCTCTGTAATTCCTTGTAGCTCCGAGTCCTGTGTATAAGTAGTCAATAAATCCATTACCAATACAAACCCCGTCTATAGTCACACATATGCGTGACAATATGATACGAGCCTACGCTCTCGACTCGGCTACGGGCAACGACGCTATATAAATGTTTACAAAATGTTTGCGTTAATAACCTACGTTCGACACACATGGGGGCACGCGGTAGCGTAGTTGGTTGAGGCACTATGCTATAGGCTGGGAGGTCGAGGGTTGGATTCCCGTTGAGGTCACTGATTTTTTCAATTGACCTAATACTTCCAGCCGCACTATGGTCCTGGGGTCGACTCAACCTCTAACAGAAATGAGTACCACGAATCTTCCTGGGGGTAAAGGGTGGCCGGCGCGTTAGGCTGACAACCTTACCGCCATCTGTGAGCCTCGACGTCTCACAACCCTTTGGGTTTATACGGCCTATTACAGGGATTACTATGACTATTTTAGTCTGCTTCCCTAAATATGGCTTATGCGATCTCCATGCCGTCTGTGTATGTTGCTAGGTAACTGCTAGGTAAAAACGTTACGGCGGCAACAAATACACACGCAACAACAGAAGACTTGTTGGACGCGAAGTTTTCTGTGCGGTCAATGTCGTATCAAAGGAAAGTACACGATCTGTTCTTCCCAGAACTTCCTGCTGACAATTCTGAAACTTCTCCAGAAATACGTGGCTTATAAACCGGGAGAGCACTGCAAGGAAGCATAACTAAGTAATTCGATGTGTTATCTACCGCATAAAGATAGCCTTATCCGCCTGATAACGCCGTCCTGTCCCAGCCCTGTTCACAAGAGCACGTGAGCCAAACGGCCAGTCACTGCAGGTGAGCTGTCTTTTCTGGGCGCCGTCACGGGAGGGGGACAAGCCAGGCATAGTCAACCACGGATTTTTTTTTAAATAAAATTGAAAACATATGATGGAAATGCTCCAAATATTAAAACTAGGGTTTAAAATACTTTTCTGTACTGAAGGCTCCAGGGTGATCAGCAAACAGAATATCAAATTGCCTAAAAGTAAGTTTTTGAGAACATGTTCTGTCTGTTCGTCCCCCTAGAAAACGGGGCCCCAAACAACAACAAAATCTGACAGCGCCCACGAGCGTTTGCTTACACTTTCGGTGTATAATTTTTACGGGTGAAAATAAATTAATGGCTATTCGTATTACCGTTAAAAAGAACCCGCAAATGTTTATTATGAAATTGCGATGACCGGTGAGGGCATGAGTAATCAGGTTGCCTAATTTGTTCATAAACGGGATATCTCGTGTTTGTCATGTAAATGGTTCAGAACGCAGCACCTACTTTCGACATTTGTGGAGTCTAACAGAGAAACGACAGATAACCATGGACGTGTATCTGTGTATCGCGCTTCCTTCACGCTTTGAAACACAATGGTTACATTATGAAACTCTGCATTCTGTCAGTTTCCTATCGCTCTCACAAGAAACAGCGGCTGTTTTCCTAAACAGCATTAACATAAACATTGATTTACAAATACTGCTCTTCATACAAGCTCCATTTGATGCCTAGCAACGTCCTGGCACGTATGGATGCGACAGAACATGCATTACGGTTGTTACCATTTCAAATATCAATGTAAGAATCAAATACCCTTACACAAGGCCGATAGAAGCCTACATTCCGTTCCCCGAGAACAGATATTCCACCCTAACCTCAATTAAAACACTGGTCAAATTTCTCAAAATATTTTCTCAAATAACGGCACGAAATTTCGAGATTCAGTGCCGTAATTCTCAACACAGCTGCATAACGTGTTTACTTTTTTGTTTTAATGCTAGTGGGGTGGGACTAAGTCCCTTGCACTGCGGCCACTTCTGGCCTATTGTACCAGCCCCAGATGATAGGTGAGGGTGATTGTGGAGCAATTGGTGGAATGAAGATTGACAGGGGAAACGGAAGCACTCGGAGAAAACCTGCCCCAGCGCCACTTTGTCCACCACAAATCCCACTTGATCTGACCCGGGATCGAACCCGGGCCGCCGCGGTGGAAGGCCAGCGACTAACAGCTTGAGCTATGGCGCTGCCTCGTGGTCACGTTACTGCCAATTTATGAGCGCGATATTAAGCAAGGGTCAGCAACAATTATTCCCTTATAACCAACCCCCCCCCCCGGCAAAAAAGGGTCGTAAAATGTGTGCTTGGTTTGTGAGCGTTGACACTACAGCCCTGACTACAATGAGAACACTCCATACAAGGGACACATCTTTTTTAATGATCCTGTATTTATTTAGTTGCGGTTTGTGCTGTTAATCTGTGACTAGTTCCTCCCTCCAACTTCCAGTCGTGAGAGTCCCGCAGGACTCAGAACAAAAACTGACCGTGCTGGCGAAGGCCAGCAGCATTAACCTGACCGGATGCAGTCAATAACTCGGGCTATATGACGTCGAATGAATGATGACAGCGAATAATAACTTGGGCAGGATGTTGAAGGAAGCGGCGCCTTGAGGGACTGAGGAGAATCACGAGTAACTTCAATCAGTATAGGTGGTGTACTGGCCAAGAGTCGAACCGAGTGCCACCCGAAGCTGCAAGTTCCAGTTGTGCCGCGCCTGTATATAGGCAAACAGCACCGAACCAAAGCGAGCCAGGCGAGACGCTCCGCCGTTAGCACTGCAGCAGCGATCATATGGACAGGCAGGAATACAGAATTTAGGGCACGACGCCATGCCACGTCGCCACGCGACGCTGTGCCTCGCGCGTGTGTGAACTCATACCCCACAGCTCCGTTCACAACACGGAGTGGAATGATGTAAAAGGAATAGTTCTCCCTGTGCATCACGCCATGAAGGTGTATGGGGGAGTAGATGTATAGATCCACATTTTCTTGACCTCGGCACTAGCTGGAAGTGAGTAGTCAGCTTCACGCCCCAGCTGCTTTACCACCGGAGAAAGATCCCTCGGTATTCATTGGACAGGAGACTGGGTGAGCTCCACAGCCGGTCTGTAAGACAGGGAGAAGAGAAAAATCATGACCCTATTGGGATTCGAACTCTGACCCCTTGGTCGTCCAACCCGTAGCCAGTCGCTATACCAACTGAGCTGTCCTGGCTCCTGGCGCAGAATGAGGACACCAATTATTATTACCTCAGTCAGTATGGTGACTAGGCTACAGAATGAATAACCAGGGAATTAGGTTTTGATTTCCAGCAGGGGCAAAGATATTTCTCCTATCTGCAGCGTCCAGACCGGCCCCGGGGCCCACCCAGCCTCCAGTCCAATACTTACCGCGAGCTCCTTCCCCTGAGGTTACGGAGCCGAGGTGTAATTCTGAGCACTCACCTTCATTTAGTGCCAAGTCATGTCTGCATGGAGCTACATCTCCACTCTTCCATATGTCTCCACATTGTGGTACTTGATTAAACATGATGAAACTACCTTTATGTATGGAGCTAAATGTCCTCTCACTCTGTGATAAGACAAGTGCCACATCAGAGATAAAGCCCCCTCCCCTTTCAAATTAAAGACGGAGGATGCGATAATCTGCTGCCTGGTCAGCACTATCACATGCCTCATCAGGCAGTGACAGATCAGTATGAGGCAATGGTAGAATGATGATTAGTAGAGAAAAACTGAACAAATTTGGTGGAAAATCTGCTCCCAGTCTTTTTGTATGCCATGAAGGCACCCAGAACTGAACCCAAAGCCTCACGGTCAGCAGTCAGTCTCTGCTTGAGCAACCACAGAGCAAACCCTATGGTTATTTTGTATACCACGGGATACTGAACATTATCCTCAGCATGTTACCTTGCGGAAAAAGTTGAAAAATAAGTGACACAAGATCACCACTGCAATCAGAGCTGACTCAAGTTTATCTGTGTTCACATCAGCACATTTATTCCAAGACACTTATGTACTCAGATGAATCCCCATGTGGAGGTGGGTTTCAATACCTCCACTGTAGCCCTGCAAGTCGTGCACGGGAAGCGACGAAAAGGGAACCCAGTGCCTGGGGGTGTAACTGGGCCACCATGTTCCTGGGGGATATAAATAGGGGACTTGGTCCTCCAGGTTGGGGAAGTCTCGAATCTGTGACAGTAAAATGTGGTCATGAGTCCCACAGGACTCTGAACTGAGACTGACTGCGCTGGCGACAGACCTGCCATCATCAAAGAAGGCACCCCACATCAACAAACCCGCAACTCCCTGACAATAACAAAAATCTGGTCTTGGGTCCTAGACAGGGGCTTGACACCAAGACAGACTGGCCGACTGACCGTCAGTTGTAACATAACTTTGACTTTGGCTTATGTGCGAGTGACTTTAATCGTAACCCCCCTGCTGTGTGCCACATTACTGGTACCAACGTTAAAAGTGTATTTGTAAAAACAAGAGTCAGGGCCTAACCTTAGAATTTCCCTTCAAAACAACTCCACAGGGTTAGGCCTTCAGTTACATTTTAAGAAAACTGATCATTTTTTGTTTTGTTTTTGCAAATAAACTTCTACAGCTGGAAGTGCTAATGTGGTGGACAACATGGTGGCAAAGACTTCAAAGATACCTGAGCCACTAGTACCTACTCCAACACATTCCTCCATCTCCTTCATGTTCTTGCAAGTGGCCACACCACAACTAATGTCAGTGAACAGTCATGCAAGACAAAGAGAAACTAATGCAACATCTGCATAAACCCAGCGTCACATCAGTGTTCTGAGTGATGCTGACAGAAGTGAAGCCGGGCAGGTCAGTGGCAACAAGTCAGACAAACAAGTGACCCGCTGGTCCTCTAGGACAGGTGGGATTCGAAGGCTGATAACTTCAAGCAATAAAACCACTGTTGTGTAGAATCTGGATATGATGATGGCTGAATTCAGCCAACCTACACAATCCAGCAATTACTACTTACAAGTAGCAACGTGGAACATGCGTTCATTATTCAGAAATGAAGCTATGTGAAACTTCATGAAACGGAGCAAGCTGGCATATGGTACAGTCGTATTCAGGTGCTCTGAATCTCGGCTGGGACACCAGCTATCCTGACTAGGATATTTCTGTTTCCTTCAGTCCCTTCAGGAAAATGATCGCAAACTGCTTCAGTCCTTGCAAATTCTAATTCATCATTCACCACACAATCTGACACTCTACTGTCCGGCTATGGGCAGCGCCATAAGAACAAGGACAACTTAAACATGAGAAGACTGGAGTGACTGGGAACTTTATAATAAATGAAATGCACCCTCAAACTAAGGGACGTAAGAAGAACAGAAAGACCAAATATGACAAAGCATCACAGAAGCTTGTGAATGACTGGAATCCATGGACGGAATGAAAAGCATCAGAGAGGAACCAATCAAGGGGAATCACTCAGAAGGTAGAGGCCTACAATGAGCTGCAGTACCCTAGAGGAGACTGCAGGAAACTTCAGAGGATTACAGGATGCACAGTACCAGAAGTTTTCTTTTTTTTCCAAACAGAACAAATTTTACATAATATAATATTTATATTATTTGACAACAATTTTTACACTTTACATATGCAAACAATCAAAAAAGTACTATTCCATTTTCACACATGCTGGCATGCACACATACACACAGAGTATTATACATATGATACAGTTTATACAGAGACAAAAACATAACAGTTCTGCTGAATACTGTTACCTCAACTAACACGAGCGAACAAACATTACAGAACTATATATCAGTGTTCTGGAAGATCCAGACTCTCTAAACCAATTGAGAAGATAACTTTACAAGCCTATAACACAAAAACAAGCCTAAACTCTCAAATAATCACAAGTATTATTACAAAACAATACAATTTAATTTGTGTATATATATATATATATATATCCATTTATTTGGACCTGACTGGCCAAAAGTTTACATAACAAACTGTGTAAATACCACGTGACAATGAAAAGCAAGCACAATGCTCCTCTCTCCTTTACATACAAGACTTTGCGTTTCTAATCTCAAGTCAGTGTTCTGCATTCACACAAATGGGAGACAGGCCAGCACAAATTTCTTACAAGTCTAGGAGCCATCTCACTAGAAACTAGAAGCCAGAATAGAATCAAAACATCTCATCTGAGAACTGTGCTCATATTTATCATCAAAAGGACAACTGACTAACAGCCAGGTCCTTTAACAGGTCCTCGCAACATTGCTAGGCTGTGTGGAGTAAAAAAAGTAAAAGTAAAGTAAAGCTTTCCCTGTACCAGGCCGTGAAGGCCCATAGGGTTGTGAGACGTTGAGGTTCCCAAATTATCTAGACAACCGGCTCAAAGATGGTGGTAAGGTGAGAGTGACACTTATTTTTTTTATGGTTTACTGAACAATGCAGGTGACACAGCGATGAACAGAGGATCAATGAATGATGACAATGTGGAAGGAAGCTGTTTTAGCCTATTTTAAGGATGTCCTGGTATTTGATTTGAGGGACTGAGGAAAACCGTGAAAACCTTCATGAGACTTGATGTTCTGGCTCAGATTCAAACTGGGCACATACATACCGAAGCATTAGAGCCTGAGTCAATTCGCTTGGTGATGTGGGGAAACGAACGATTATAGGATGGACAAATAGAATGGATGGGAAGCAAAATGACAGAAGAGACAGAAAATGAGAATCAAGATATGAAAGGCATAAGGAATGGAAGAAAGATAAGATTTTTCCCATAATTTCTTATTGATCATGCATTTCCAGCAGTAATATAATAGGAAGGAAGAATTCTACACACCATCACAAAAATTTTTAAGTGTCACGGTGACGTGGCATCCAGAATTCGTGCAGGCCTGAGGGGAGATGGTGGCGCTTCCTGTCTCCTTTCAGAACTAAAATAAGAACTTGACAGCAAAGTGTCTAGTAGCCAGGACATTTTATTTTGAAGTCTTCTGTGGAACATATTTTGTTGAGGGTGCACGGCATCATGCAGCCTCACATCAACACCAACACTTCGCAGGAACCTACTGCCTCCACATTCAGGCCAGAGAGTAAGCTGTGTGGAAAAATTGTGTGGACAGCGGCACAGGAATGACTGGGGCCAAATCACCCAGAGTAAGGAAAACTGTGCAAAGAATACTGGCCTTCTAAAGGGCTGTTTTCCAAGGGCACCATGAATTGGGGGGGGGGGATTATGGCTCTACTAAGTGAACCACAGGGGGCACGCAGAATATCATTATATAGAACACTGAATTTAGTAGCAAACACTGACTGGAATATCGTAATGTGGTCCTGCTAGCTGATTACTGTACACTGCAAACAGTTATGAAGGCTCGCTGGACATTGCTACAGACTCCAGTTTCTAAATAATTTATGTATATGCATCACTTTTTTTAAAGCTGGCTTTCTTTAAAAATGGCCAATCCTGTTAACTGTCAAGAGCAGTGATGATCTGCAACATCAGAAGATGAAAATGTACTGTAACGTGTTGGGTTACTGAAGACGCTGTAAACTACTGTAAACGTGTAGACTACTGAAGACAGAGTGAACTGATTTGCGCATAGGGTTATAAAGTGTGAAACCCCGCAACTGTGTGATAATTAATTGTAGCCGATACTTGTAGGTTGTTAAATAAACCAGTTAACAATCCGAACGGCGTCTTCAGAAACCCAACACGTTACAGTATGTTAGTTGTGGGGCCCACATTTCTATATGATAGAGCGAACTACACGGGAATGAAATTTATGTCTAATAAATCAATTATTACTCAAAAATACAAGCAGACACCACTCATCACAAACTAAATTCCATGAAGAAACCTTCTGGGATGTAATACTTTGTAATCTGGCAGAAGTTCACCAATGTTTTGGAGGAACATATTGCTTCCATCTTCAGGGTTGAAGAATAAGCCAACCAAGAAACCAGTAACAAGCATGCACCTGATTCTCACCAGTTTCTTACCTGGCTTATAATCTGAACCTGAAGATGGAAGCAGTATATCAGCAAACTTCTACTGGACTGCATCATATTACTTCCCAGAAAATAGTACTCTTTGTATTCAACACAGAAAGAACCTCAAATCTGACACATTACATTCCAGTCCACAGTTGGTGAATCCTCATCTGTCAATAGTTCATCTCAGAAATAATTTTAAAAGAAAAAACATTTGACTGAAAACTCAGTGTGACTTCCCCCATTCCAAAATTCCAGATGTGATGGCCATATTGAAATGTGTAACACTGCATAAGCTTCCTCTTCACAGCCAACATTACTGCAAGAGTGAAAAATAAGCGTGAAAGTAACTCTTACATCCAATTTGCCCATTTCCTGGAAATTATTTTTATGTAATACTAGTCAGGGCCTGCCAAAATTTTGGCGAGAAATTTCCAAAGCCGAACTCTGTCAGAAATATCCACCACCAATAATATGAAAAATAATATGCAGATTGATACTAAACTCGATATAGTAACAACATGCACTAAACTGTGCTGCTATCTACAGGAACTATTTTTGGAAAATGTCTTACTTATTTACTTACTAATGGTGACGAGCCCTTCTTGAGGAGCCGCAATTTCTGCAGCTACTCAAGAATTTCCCAGCATTTTATGGAACCTGAAGGTCCATTACCATGTTCACAAGAGTCCTCCACTGGTCCCTATCCTAGGCCAGATTAATCCAATCCATACCATCCCATCCCTCTAAGATCCATTTTAATATTGTCCACCCATCTATAAAAGCAAAATTAATCTAAAATACTCAAACTGCTTCCTCTTTTAAACTCGCAACAGAGCATCACAATGGCCACCGTCAAGTTCACAACTAAACAAGAGAGGGACATTTCCTTCAGTCACAACTTGACCAACTTTTTAACAGTTGGTGGCTGAGGGATTCAGCCTTGAGATAAAAAATAAACACTGACAGACACTTCATAAATTTCACTAACAGCTATTATTTTGGTATCACCAGCACACAATCCATTTCCCTCCCACCCCATAAGCATTCTATAATCTCCCTTTATATCAATATGTGGCCACACATTAACCTGAACAATCTCTGAACAGTAACAGGTGTGTAAATAGATGACAGTACAACAGCCATTGCTAGGAAACAGTTCTGTGGATACATTATTCCCCCAGCAACAAAAGAACATGCAATAATGGAGGAGACATTTCATGCGTGATCCGTGCTGGGGCTATATAATGAGGACTGGTAGTTCAGCGGTTGGTTGAGTCAGTTAAGAAGTGAGAAGCTGGTAGCTGAGGCAAATGAGAGTTCAGGAACCCAAAGGAAGGGGGAATGTTCCCCATTGGAAGCCACTACCAAGCAACGGCTAGTGAAGTTTGAGAAGACTTCATGTGTGCCGTAGTTACAGTGATCTTTGGAGTGCATAATTAAGTGAGACTTTCATAGTTATTTGTAGTTATGAGTGTAAGTGTCCAATAAATCCAGTTACCAATTCAAACCTCACCTCTAGTCACACCCAACCACATGACAAATATTAAATCATGGTTTCACTAATCATGCACGCTTTATACCATTATTTTCTTTTTCTGGGTGAAGTTCAAAACTGTTATGCTGAGTCTGCCTCTCGCCACTGTCTCTCATTCCCATCCATAACAACTCGCAATGGTTTCTATAAAACTATATGACAGAATAACGGCAAGGTTTATGCTTTCACTTCTACGGGCGATATGCATGTAGAGACTGCCACCTAGTAATTACAGTTATTACACCTATATAATGCTGCAGTTGAGTGGGCAGCTTTCCTGCTATGTATCTGGGAGGCCTTGGGTTCAAACCTCAGCCCAGAGGCTGGCTACCTGGATTTCTTGAGGCCTCACTCAGCCTCCACGGACAAAGGCCAAGACTGTATACCAAATCATTTGCTACCACATCTTTTCCAATTCAGCTATAATCACATCACTTGATGCTACGCAGACTGAGATACTGAGAACATTGCTACATAAATCATAAATAAAATGAATATACAAGCGCCATTTTATATACCAGGAGTGGCAACCAGCCAGCCACAACATTTGGTATGCAACAAACCTTGCAACGATCCTGGTTACTTCTCCTGTTTCACTGCTCCTAACTCCTCTAGCATTGCCGGGATTCCTTCAGGAACTCTTCCCTCGTCCAGTTCTCGACCCCAAGACCGGTACTGCAACATAAACAGGTAGGGGAAGAGAACCTTAAATTCAGGTGTATACATGCCATTGCGTGATTCAAGAGAGCAGTTTAGGGAACCATCAGCTACAGTATCTCTGTGCTTCATTTAACGGTGCTGCCAATAACTGGACTATATAGAATGGCATGGTAGGATGACTGATGAATTGGAAAGGATTTGGAAGGAAGTAGTCATGGCTTAAATGAGGTATCATCCTAGAATTTACTTGGAAAAACTGAAGAAATCCATGGAAAACCTCAGTCAGGAGGGAGTCAAGCCCCAACCAAGATTCGGATGCCACTCCCAAATAAAGTCCACAGGATAGTGCGCGAAAATAACTGTTATATCTTAGAGTAAAGTCTTTTGGGTCGCTGTCCTCTTAAAAATCTGGTACCAACCCACCTACTTGACATGAGATTTATCACAATACCTAAAACAATAATTATGCCGTACAACAGTTTACATTCTCATGGCACAGAATTTTAACAATATTCTGGAATGAGACACCATCTACAAAGTAGAAGAGATGGTGGTACCACGTTCCTTCAATATACTGGTACCTGTCGATTTCTTCAGCACCAGCGTCTGCCATGTTGTTACTGACTATAGGAAACTGGCGTAACCTCCAGTAGCACAGCAACCATATGAAATTTTGTGAATATTGGTCAACTGGTTCAGAAGTTGAAAGGGGATGACACAAAAAAAAAGCATGGTGACCTCATACATCCTTATATGGATGGGGGGGGGGCACAAGATATGACGTACCTTCTCCAATTCCTTACGCAAGGCCAGAACCGCTTTCTCTCGGTCAGATACCAGTTCCTCAAGATACTGATAGCGCAACTTTTTCCTTGCTCGACATTCTCGTGCGCTCTGCCTGCTACGCTCTGAAAAAATGCAGCACCAACCACTTATTTCAGTGTGAAGCTCATTACTAAATTTTTAACAATACTGCATAAACTACATCTGAAATTTGTTTTCCTCATGGCAAGGACTATGGACATTATCATCATCTGGAATGTTACTCTGTGTAGTCTGGTAGCTTGTTCCCCTTGTTCTGGAGGAACCTGGTGACTCTAGTTTCATGATAAAGGACTAATATTATTCTTCTAACCTGAAAATGGAGCCAGTAGGTTCTCAAAAAACTGGCAAGATCTACCAGATTATACCATGTCACACAGCAGATGAAAGATTATCATAAATTGTGACTAAAAAGGATTTATATGGTGATGAACTTGGCCTGTTCCAGGGCACTGTCCCCATGTGTAGGTGGAGGAACTGAAGAAAACCCCGTATAATCTCAGACAGGAAAATAATGTCCTGATCAAGATAAGAACAAGGCCCTTCTGAAGTATGAGTCACAAATATCTCTTGGGCCAATTCATTCAGTGACTACGAACTTGAAACCAATATCTGAGTTCCTGCATACAAAAATGTAGTAGCTCAATTATGCATGTCTTCACTGGAAAGTAACAGACAAATGTCTGCAAACTCACCCAGTTTGGCTTTCATATCTACTTTGTCAGCAGCCTTTCTACCAGGTTTACGTCCTCGTTTGCTTCCTTCTTTTCTATCACTGCGCAACTCATCCTGAAAGGAATCAGAAGGTGGTTTCCACGGAAGTCTATTACTTGAATTGTAACTATGAATTAGAACTGGGGGGGGGGATAAAGCAATATAATAATGTGGCAATAGCACAGCCAACAATATCTTCAATGAAAAATGATACATACCTCATTTATAATATCTCCACCAAAAATACTGCATACTTTTTAAATAAGCGTTACTATGGAGCGCACGGTATACTAGCTACAGAGCATAGCCCAGGATGTAAACTCGTAATCTGGGTACGAAATGGTTTATATTACAAAATAATTTAAACTGCAATGTGACGTTTGTTAGATCGTGTATGAAATATCAAACGTAAACAGCAACAAATGAATTTCAGTTGACTATACCTCGAAAGTTTCACAAAATATACACTAATTTCACATTATCAAATGTCATGGTGCACAGGGAATCATCACAACTCACCGATCATATAACACGAAATATGCGTATACTGTAACTGTTATCTAAGGGTGAACAGCCAGAGAGCACACTACTTAGGAAATAAGTTTGTAAATCAACATCTCCCAGTATCTAGTTCTTATATTATGTGAAAATATTACAAGCACAATATCCTTGGGTACTTGTCACGTTGTTACAGCATATGAACAAAAGAATGTACTGATATTCAAAGAATGGCAAGTCATAAAACATAACCTACTGCTTCAGTTTCCTCGTGATCTTGCTGATCCATTACACTCTCCTCAAAATCCATCATGACAACGTCCTTGCAAATCAAATTGAAATAACTACGTAATGTCTACATATTGTTTACCACAATATGGTAGGTTCGCGAATTCGCGAAAATACTACGCTGAGCACGTCATTACCAGTCAGTGACGTAAACGAAACGTCATCATTTAAAAGTTACTAAAATCTGCTGGCTTCTGTGTTTCTCAGTGGTGGATATGAAAAGATCTGTCGTCTAGGATGTAACGCCGTGTAAACCGTTGAATGACAACAAACATTACGGAGGAACACGACATCTCCACCTTCACAGTCGAAGCCACGCAAGAAATCAGTACGAAGCAGATTCTATTTTCAACATACTTCCCGTATTCATACGCCGGTGGGAAATTCAAACGTTCTGGTTTGGTACTTTTCTCACTAGATGGCAATGGCTGGTATAAGTCCACTGTTTATAGCATTATGCTTCTATATTAATATACTGTATTACTTTCATTGGGAATATGCTATTTTGCTTAGAAACAATACTTTTCTAATTCTTACCTACATTTTTCAATACTAATCCTTTCTTTTGCAAATTTTGCTTGGTGAAAATACGTCAATTTCTATAAGCCTACTACTACTATCTTTCAGCAGTCATGAGCAGCATCACAGACTGTGTTCAATATAATTTAATATATTACCTTTCCTGTAACTCTGTATCTTTTTAGGAGCTCGTTGGGGGGGAGGGTGATTTATTCCAGTGTCAACTAATGACGAGCCTCATTCACTGTACACTAGAAGGACACGAGCTACCTCATGAGTCTGACTCTACCTTTACTGTGTAGGTTTACCATTTTACCATTTTTGGAATTTATGTACGATTCAAAGGTCATGACATATTTCTTTAAAGTATAAATATCTCAAGGTGTTAAATTATATCAAAAGCTATAATCATATAACATATAATGTATCTGATATCGTAAATATCACAACACATTCTCTTCTAGTTTTTGCATATATTTCTAGCTTTCACTACTATAGCTAAGACTTGTCCCAACCTTCAAGAACTTCTACCCAGTTCCATAAATTACAACAAAATTATGTAGACTGTGCCCTAGCTTAAGTGGTTAGATGCTGGCTTCTCACTATGGAGACCTGGGTTCAATCCTGGGCAAGTTCATACAAGAATCGTTGTGAATGAAGTGACATTGGAGCAGGTTTTCTTTGATTTCCTGCTAATCATTGCTCCATACTCGTCATCAACATTCCCTGAGGTGTGTGACAGCCTTGACCAGGCAGTACATAATCACATCCTTGGACTTTAAATTCGGTGGCTTCATTTCCAGCCTGGCACTTGGCTGGTTACAGAGTAAGACAGTTTTTTTTAAAGACAGTGGGGTGGGACTAAGTTCCTTGTACTGCAGCCACTTCTGGCCCATTGTACCAGCCCCAGATGATAGGTGAGGTGATTGTGGAGCAATTGGAATGAAGATTGCCAGGGAAACTGAAGTACTCAGAGAAAACCTGCCCCAGCGCCAATTTGTCCACGACAAATCCCACATGACCAGACCCGGGCCGCCGTGGTGGGAAGCCAGCAACTAACCGCTTGAGCTATGGCATGGCCCTTGAGTAAGGAAGTTGGTTTATATTACAAATTTATAATAATAGTCATTTAATTTTCTCTGCTATATATATCCAAACTTGAGCAGGGATTCAATCAAAACCTTCACGCTTGCTCTCTTCTATTATCCATCATACGGAGCCGAAGACAATGTGCAAGTTTACTTCGAGGCCAACTTCCCTATTCTGTGTCAGAACCTGAACCTGGAAGTGTGATCATCAGTTAGCGATGCAAATCATTACATCGATATAAAGTTACTGGATTCTGTTTTCATCATGTTCATGCTAGTGGGAAATTCAAATATACTATTTTAATACTTCTTTCCTGAGATGGCAGACAATTATATAAACGGACTCTGCAATCCTGTTATGTATGTATGGTACATGAAATTACAGCAAACTCCCCATTAATTGGCATGCAGGAGCAATGGCGTCTGTCTGTTACATGAGAAGAACTCTTA